CATAATCAGATAATCAATTAAATTCATATGCCTTTAAATATATCTCAATTCTCTACTTTGAGATATTATTTGACATTTTTAATTTCAGCATATCTATCAGTATCAACAAAATATTTTTTCTTGCACAGATTTGATTCACTGTCTTACAACAATGGCAACTAGAACCGCTAGTGATATGAGAGCGCACCTGGCAAGCTTTGAGCCTGAGTATCCAATCAAGAAGGGCTACGTAACAAGGTTACTTGTTATTGAAAAACTTTCTGTTTCTGATGTAGGCAGAAGAATAAAGGAAATTGTGCAGATGGCAGAGCCAGACAAACATCTACACGAGCAACGAACATTAAGTGCTATTAATCATTTAAAGATCATAGCCAAAAAAAAAGTATGCTACCCAGTTCAGAGACAGTGGGATGGTTTTGTAAGGTTAAGCCAAGAGCTATTGGGCATATCGTTTCATGATGATACAGCACAAACAGTTGATTCATCAGCTATAACTTCCACAGCACTCATGCAACCAGAACATACAAACACACTGTTTACACAACCCGAACACACATCTGTACCAATGCCTTTACAAGACACTTCAGAACCATCAGTGGTTGCTGTTGTGGGGTTAACCTCTGACGATTTATCCTTTTTAGTGCGCTCTAGGTCACCATCGCCAAAGCGTCTAAAAAGGGACTGTGACAACTGTGTCAACAAGCAACGGACAAATCTGAACATGCTGAAGGAGAACAAAAGCTTGCGAATGCAGATAAAAACACTTAGACTGCATTACAGAAAGGAAAGAAAACAGATGTCTTTGAAAACTCTGAATGAGAAGATCAGGAGGCAATCACAGTCAGCCACCCTTTGGAGATCTAAATATGTCATGATAATGAGAGCATATACAGAAATGAGAAAAGTAAATAGACTGGAACGCAGGACACAGCGAAAGTTACTCAAAAGGGTTGCTCCTCTTGAAGCATATATAGAGGAAAACAATTGTTTGAAAAAGCAGGTTACAATCTCAAAACGTTCAAAAAAAACAACAGAGACAGAGAGGGATCGTTTAAAAAAGGAAATTGATGAAATCAGACAGGAGTCTAAGAAGTTTCTCTTGAACATTCAAGAAATGAACACCAAGCTGCGCAAAGAAAGAGAACATATTTCATATTTGGAAAATGAAGTAGCCAAGTTGGAAGAATCTTTAGCTGATCATCGCAATATTGTAACAAAAGAAGCAGGAAAATATTTTCACAGATTTCGCCAGTCAGTCTATGAGTGCTTGATGCATAATGTCAGTGTTGCAAATATTTCAACCGTGTGTTATCGTCTATTTCAGGAATTGTCTTTAACAAAATTCTTTTAAATGTTCCCTCTGTATCCACAGTAGCACAGATGGTGTATGAACTTGGGGTACTTGCCAACATTCAGGTTGGCCAGATGCTGCATGAGTGCGATGCTGCTACACTGGCATGGGACTCAACAACCAAACAAGGATCCCATATTAATGAAGTTCATGTGACTCTTATGACATCAGGTCGTAAACAGTCTTTAACTTTAAATATTAGGGTTATTTCAGGGTCTACAACAGAACAGCTGTACCGGCACGTCTTTTGAGGCTCTATCTGATGTTTCTGAGATGTACTGTGACGCTTTTAAGATTCCAGTAGCTGCTTTCAAGGAGGCAGTGAAAGGTAAAATAAACAGCACCATGACGGACAGAGCTGCTGTCAACCATTGTGTGAGCCAAAAACTTCAGGGGGACATCGGATATTTGGCCGACCTGAAGTGTATGGTACACCCATTGGATGGTCTTGCCAGAACTGCCCGTGATGTATTGTACAAGCTTGAAAAGGATCACATTACAGAGGAAGACAATCAGAGAACAGCCTTGGGATGTCGTGCTGCAATGCTGATTCACCAGATATCAAAATTGCGTCACAAGGATGGGTCTGGTGATCCAGGTGCATTCATTGCTTTTTTGCAGAACAAAAATATCAATCCCAGCATCTTCAAGCGCTATGTCGGGAATCGTTTGAATGTCATGTTCCATATGGCAGCGGTCATTTATTTGCACAGAGATTTATTGACACAGTTTGTCGAGCACAAACGGCCAAAATTACTTTGTGTTAAAATACATGAAAACTTGACAGACGAGAGAGTCCTGCTTCACTTGCAGGTGCTGGGATTATATTGTATTATATGTATTGTTGCACAATTAATGAAATTGTTGTTTTAAAATGTTATATTGAATTGTTTGTGTGTGTATATATATATATGTTATTTATAGTTACTTTTTTTCTTTTTCAGTCTTGCATGATTACAGAACTGTCAGCTTTTTAAACATGGACGAGTGAAAAAGGTAAGTCGTACAAACATTTGTGGCTAATGCTTTTTTCTGATGTATTGTTGCACAATTAATGAAATTGTTGTTTTAAAATGTTATATTGAATTGTTTGTGTGTGTATATATATATATATGTTATTTATAGTTACTTTTTTTCTTTTTCAGTCTTGCATGATTACAGAACTGTCAGCTTTTTAAACATGGACGAGTGAAAAAGGTAAGTCGTACAAACATTTGTGGCTAATGCTTTTTTCTGATGTATTGTTGCACAATTAATGAAATTGTTGTTTTAAAATGTTATATTGAATTGTTTGTGTGTGTATATATATATATGTTATTTATAGTTACTTTTTTTCTTTTTCAGTCTTGCATGATTACAGAACTGTCAGCTTTGTAAACATGGACGAGTGAAAAAAGGTAAGTCGTACAAACATTTTGACGGAGACTTTTTTCTGATGTATTGTTGCACGATTATTTAAAAAAATTGTTTTTTAAATGACTACTGCATTATTTGTATATGCATTATTTCACTAATTTTTTTTTCTTTTTTTTTTTTCAGACTTTTACCATGACGTAAACCTGTGAGAAAGATACAAACTTCTTTTAGTCATGTTACGAGAAGAGCGGCATTGGTGAATTATAAACAGATTAACATATACATAGACAATAAAGATTAATGCACAGATATGTTGATGGCTTGTTGATTGTTCTGTTCAGACTCCACCATTCAACAACAAAAATATAAATTAGACACCATATTGAAAAATAACTGACCAGAGAGCATGACTTAAATTATCAAATCAAAATTATCATATGACTTACATGATTGTTCTATCAGGGTGAGAAAAAAATTTGCTCTGGATATATATAATATACCCACAGCAAATAGTTTTCCCATATAACAAAAAAAAAAAACATTAAAATTTTTTTTTAATAAAAATATTTTTTCATGATAATTGGCGGCCATTTTTAAATAATATTAGTCGATATGATGTAATACCTAAAAATTTCCAGATATTCAGTTAGACATTGCTGCCCTGAACACAACAGTATCTGTTATCTTTGGTCTATTTTTAATACTTTAAAAGAACGTTATAAAGTTTACGAGAACATATCGACTGATGATTATGATAAATGGCGGCCATTTTGAATAATTATTAGTCGATATTGCGTAACTACTAAAAATTTTATGTTTATTCGGTTAAAGCTTGTTGCCCTGAATCCAAAAATATATAGTTTCTAGGGTCTGTTTTAAATACTTTATAAGTTAAAGCAGTTTTTAAACACTACTCTAAAACTTCTGATTTCTGGGCAGCAAGTTTCAGCTCACTTTTATATTTTCTTCTTTGTTAACTTTTCCCACAAAAACTTCAATAACTCTGCTTAGACTTGACATAGAGGCATGAAAGAGGCACCGTTGGAAAGGGTTTTTCAATACGGATGCAGCTGTACTTGTTTTATGAGGATAAAACGATTTTGAAAATTTGACCAAAGTTGCTATATTAACAATCACATCACCTGGGAGAGAACTGGCATTAATCATTTGTTGAACTTCTAATTCTGCAGCATCTGCTGGCCAGTCCCTCTTTTAACTGTTGTTTTCTTCCAATCTGATCATGATTGCAGATTCAGTTATCACTTGGTTCTAGCAAACATCCTACTTCTTGTTTAGCCCCACGCCGCGCGCAGCGGCATGGGAGATACTCTCGGCTGTGGCGGAAGTCAGCAATTTACATGTGACTGAGGCCCTGTTATGGTATATTTTTGGTCTTGATAATTTGAGACTGTTATTTGGAAGATAGCTGATGTTTGTCAGGCTTGACTGACTCGGCCAAACCTTGTATTCGAGCCCAGTCCGTTTCTGTCTCATTGAGTGACTGAGAAAGCATGCCTTAATGAAAGTTTGTCTCTCCAGCCAGGACATTGCTTTATTTACTACCATGACCTTTATAGTCAGCCGACTTGTCAAGGCAAAAGCACCAGTCTTTCTTGAAAGCTCCCTCTAACCTCAGCTGTAAAAGCCCATGAGCTACTGATGTGTCATACGATAGATTCATCTGCATAAATGACAGCATCACTCTCAAAACAGTTCTCAAACAAAACCTGAAGTTCTGCCTCCACAGCAACCTGATTTTTTAATTGTTTTTGGAGGGCCTGCATTTTCTGTATGCAGCCGGATGCATACTGAAGAGCAAAACTTGTACCCACTTCTCACCAGATTCTATGTCCTCAGTTCAGCACACCAGAGTGTTCCCGACGACCCATCCACCACATTCCTCTTTTAAACCTGCTGCCCTTTTCTTCCTAATTTCAGTATGCAGTGGATTTTGTGGGCCTGCATTGACTCTGAGGTAGGATGTTGTTGGCAAATCTTTATTTATCCTCTATGGTGGGACAATCAATTAGGAAAATCAATAAGGTAGCATATCATCCTGCTTGGTATATCTGGTTGCATATCAAATTCCGATATCTTCACACCGCATTAATTTTTTTTTTTTTGAAGTTCTTTTGTTTATGTTGCATTATAAGAAGTCAACTCAAGTCTTCTACTGCTCACATATGGCAGTTACTCTTGTAAAGATGAATAATAATTAGGCGCATAAATTATAAATTGAATTTGAAATGATGTTCATATTATGTGTTTTCCCCTCCTCAGCATTTCTACCAAGATGTCTGAAGTAGGGTTGCAGATTTCTTCCAGCTCAATGGATTCCTACTTGAGGCAAGTTGTTCCTGTGCTGCAGACATGCAGGCAAGCTGTTCGTGAAATTACCCAAAGGGATCTTAAAATACAAGGAAAAGACAGAGGAACCTTAGTTCTTCATGTCATCTTTGAGATTAGACCAGATGAACAGCAAGGTAAAAGACTTCGCTCTCGCAATCCATCTAGCGCCGATGTTAAGACAGATGAAGAAGCATTCGTTTTGATTGAGCAAGTCAAGATGTTTGCTGATAAATTGAGAGATGTGGCTTTGAAAGTACTTGATGTTAGGAAAGAGATGGAAAGAGAAGACAGTACTTTATCTAGAAAAATAAAGAAACTCACAGAATTGAAAAAGAGTCTTGATGAGTTCACCAGACTTCTGGACACAATTGTAAATTTTTACTCTGCCAAATTGTTAGGCTTCCATCCCACAGTTGACCTTCCTGCATTGGAAGATGTTAAAAAATTGAAAGAACAATTGAGTCATCTAAAAAGTCAACTGAAGAAAGATGAACTTTCTTCTTTGTTTGCTTCATATGATGCAGAGTTCAGCACAAGTAATGAAGTAATTATATGCACCATGTTAGGTCTCAATGATGATTATGGTTATTATCTTCAAGAACTAGATACAGAAGTTCTAATGCATCAGCCTATTTTGTATTATTTACAGAAATCCATAGAGAGTCAAGAGAATGAATGGGAGGCAGATGGGATTCTGCATCAGTCTGGCAAAAAAGTGTTAGCAGAAAATCTTCATAGGTTTGGTTTCACTAAAGAAACTGCTGCATTAATCGTTCAGCACATTCCTGATGAATTTGTTGATTTACAGAGACCATCATACTGGGCTGTTCGATATCTGGATCATATGTGTCGGCATCATCCACTTTTGTCTTTTAACCTCAGATATCCACAAAATCAACATCTTGTCGATGAATGGTTTGAATTGAAACTGCTTGTTGATTCTGGTAAGGCAACAGATTCTGAGGATGCAAAGCCTAGCTTCAGTGGGATAAGATATCCAGTTGCTGTAGAGCACTGTTTAACTGAGGTTGCAAAGCTTGATTTAGCCACGCCAAAAGGTTCTGTGGCTGTACAAAGTGGCTTAACTGAGATGAGAGATTCTGAGGCTGCCAAGCTTAACTTGACTGAGATCAAACACTTTGAAGATGCAAATCTGTGTGCTGTCAGGATGATTAATATATCTTCCGACAAAAGTCTGGGTAATGTTCTTGTTCAGACATTGTTGAAGGAACTAAAGAGTGATGAAAATGTTCTGCTTTTCCATGGAACTACACATGAAAATGCCATGTCTGTTGTTGCTAATGGAATTATTTTAACAAAAGGTAGCAAGAGGCAGGATTTTTCTAACGGGGATGGATTCTATTTGTCAGATAAATTTGAAAATGCCAGGGCTTGGAGTCAAGCAGGCAGAGGAGGACATCAAGCAGTTGTTGTGTACAATGTTAACAGAAGTCTGCTAAACTCGGATGAGAACAGTGGTTTAGACTTGAGTCAGAACCTGTCTCGATGGGAAGAAGTGGTGAGATGTTGCAGGAATGGGTACACAAATAGAAAGATGACAAAGAGTCTTAAAAAATATGCTTTCATTCAAGGGCCACCATGTAAGAATCCAGGAGACATTGAAGGAAGTAACCCACTGCAGCCGCTCGAAGAGGCCAGCATTCAGCTTTGTATCCGTGATGATTCATTTGCTGAGGAGTTTGGCACCCTAAGTAATGTGGCGTGTGTCATATTTTATTAACGTGGCATGCTTTGTCAGATTTTATGTTTATGGTAACAGTGGCATAGAAGTACAGCCACTCACCTGAGAAGCACCTGAGACAGAGTGACATAGAAGTACAGCCTCCTCCCTGAGAAGCACCTGGGACAGAGTGACATAGAAGTACAGCCTCCTCCCTGAGCAGCACCTGGGACAGAGTGACATAGAAGTACAGCCTTCTCCCTGAGCAGCACCTGGGACAGAGTGACATAGAAGTACAGCCTCCTCCCTGAGCAGCACCTGGGACAGAGTGACATAGAAGTACAGCCTTCTCCCTGAGCAGCACCTGGGACAGAGTGACATAGAAGTACAGCCTTCTCCCTGAGCAGCACCTGGGACAGAGTGACATAGAAGTACAGCCTTCTCCCTGAGAAGCACCAGCTACAAGCCAGTTAGTAAACAATGCCTATTCTTCTTTTGTTATTCTCCTGTTGGTCTTATAGTGTCAGAATACGAAGTTCTAGAAGATTTTTGTGTATGCTCCATATGCTGAACATTTTTACTCTTTATAATTTTTTCCATTCTGTATATGCTAAATGATTTGTTTTCTTGTTCAGATGTTTTTGAGTGGTGTCTATCATGTAGCTCTGTCCCTCTGATTCTTGGATGGTGTTTTGCGTGCTGGCTTTCTCAAGCCAGGGCAGAAAATAAGGTGCTTCATGTACATTTCAAAATAAAACAACATATTTGTAGTTCTAAATCATAGAGTTGCTGATTAGGCCATTTCCTAGAAAAATTTCTACATATGTCATGGAAAAAAAATTATATTGTCTGCAGTGTTTATTCTTTTCTAGTTTAGCTATTTATGCGGTCATTGCTTTTTTATTTTTTTTTTATTTTCAACATGATAAGATGTTGATGGTTGTCAAAAATTGATATTTTTACCACTTAATTTAAACTATTCCAGTTACTGTTTTGCATATCAAAGCTATAGCCAGGGCCACATGAGAAAGGAGGAGGGTTGGTTGTGTGTGGCGGACATCTTTCCCACGCTGGAAAAGTTATTTGCTACAGAAACTTACATGAGAGAATGCCATTCCGTACAGAGTTCATGTATGACGGTTACACGTGAAAGTCGCTTTGCGGAAGTCAGTGGCTATACATACACACTACATGTCTCAGAACTAATCACTGAAATAGAAAACAGATGCATTGAAAAAACTTGGACATCCAAGAGAAATCCTAAGATGAACGTTGATGAGAGAAGATAAAGGTACTAGATTGGATTTCATCTATGATGTCATAATGATAGGATAGAACAGAATGGAGAAATAGACTCTAAACCCTATGTGACATGTAATGACACAGTAGGACCATGGATGAATATCACAAGCAGAATGTGTGTCACTTTGTACACATGATAGAAATTTTGCGGCTGTAAATCCTGGTGTTAGTAGCGTGCCATTATGTACCGTATTAACGCGTGTATAAACCCTAGTATTTTAACTGTTGATGGAAGACAGTATATCCTTATAGCCACAGTCCACTCACAGAACTAAGATAACGAGTTTTTCTTCAAACACATCTTCGGAATCACTTCCATCGAACTGCATCGCCAGTCGCGATAGAAACACTGCAAATGGAGTTAAAGGGCCTATTAATAGAAGTGTCAAGTAGTGGTAAGATAACACTCATTCCTCCTGGTATCACAGCCATATCACACTTTTCTTGCCATATTGTCTCTTTTTCCCCTTGCTTGTTCTGCCAAATAGCCTCAGAAACTGACTAGCTTACAATGCCCTACAATGTACTACTTTTTCAATTTTGCTCTCTTGACTAAATCCTAAGAAAAAGTTTTTTCCTACAATTATTGTCTCAGAAACTGGATGCAGCTTATACACGCTAAAAAACGGTATATCATTTCAGCAAGTTACTATCGCCCTTATCTTTATTAGTGTTCACTATTGTGTCAGCTATAATTGTATATGAACTCTTTGCTTTGTTTTTTAGCTTGTAATTTTTTATTGAAGCATCAAGCCCAGCATGCTAGCTGAATTGGTTAAACCTTAAACTCCTTGTGGTCCGAGTTTGCGCTCAGGGGTAGGCAGAATAGCCACATATTTTCCCAGTTTTACGGTATCTATCAGGGCAGAAGGGTTGTGATGTCCATATTACAGAGCCAAAGGGTTTATAACTCATGGTTTCTGGACCCCTTCCCCCCAAAAAAGCAGTATGAGGCATCATGTCTGGCTTCTGTAGATGTGAATTGATTCAAATTTGTGGACATTTTGAGTTGTTACAAAATAATATTTATGATATTCTGTTACTTGATTGCAGGGTGGTTGACATGTGTGGTCTTCTCAGACGAAGGCAAAAAGCTCAAGGTCTGTGCATGTATTGAGCATATGAAATAGCCGTTGGTTTAAAAAAGTGGACTGTTTAGTCCCCAGCCCAGGCAAAATGAGAAAGCTGACTGAGAAGGATATTTTCAGTATGAATGATTTTAGCCATTTGCCTGCCAATCCAAAGGTTATGGGTTCTAATCCGAACATCGGCAGACTTTTTTTAAAAAGTATGACCTTTGCTTCCAGATCTACCCAGCCTTAAGTGGCTACCTAGGAATTAGAGGTGGCCGGAGTAATGGTGACTACCTTACCCACAGAGTGCCGATTGGTCTGTGAAATAAAGGTCTAGCACTATATGCCTGAAGGCGTGGAAAAAGGGTCCTTTACTTTATGATTCCAGTATACTGATGTCTTCACTGATGCTACAGACTTTGTGCACTACATAATTCTCCATGTTTGATCTACGGGAGGAGACTGGAGCGCTTCTAGACATATTCAGATGCCAAATACAGTGATCCTGTGCTGCAGTCTTTTCTAAAATAGCTTGTATACTGACCAGTGAGCAAATTATCATAAGCTTCATTTTTATCCATCTCCCCCAGATTGGTTCCAGGGCCTGCATATTTTGGTGGTGGGGGGGGGGGGGGGGGATAGACCCACTGCTTCCCTAACAAGCATGTTGTACAAGGTGACTAATGAAGAGAGTTTTCTTCGAAGTCGAGATGCATCACTAATGACCTTGTAAAGCACATTTTTTTAAAATTTTCAGTTTGTCCTTATGTGCCATAGATGTATGTGCTCATTTTATTGGACATTTATGTCAGTATGATGATGTAAATATATAAATATATTTTTATGTTTACCCCAAGTCTTTCATACTCTTTGCTTATAGATGCTTAAAGTAAATGTAGTTCTGTATAAGATATAGCTTTAGGCCTTCATGTGAAGTAGGGCAACAGTTTCTGTTTCCCCCCCCCCCCCCCCCCCCAAGTTACCAGTATACACAGTTCATGGTGTGCTGATTGATTTTATTACCTTACAAATATGGCGCTCGAACCAGATGTGGTGCTCTAGTTGTAGAAGACTTTTCTGGATGTAAGTGAGTCTTGCTAGTCACACTCGCAACCGCCAGACTTGGAGAGCTATGATCTCTGCCCTATGCACTGCCTTAGGCTCAAGAGGACAAGACTGACTAAGTGCCAATAACTGAGCTATGCATTGAGTCAGGTCTTTGTTTATTATGCCAGTGATGAAGGTTGGTGGCAGTGGATGTTTGCATGCTTTGATGTAAGGAAATAACACATGGTGATGCCCAGTCCCTTCCACGGTGAAAGTAATACTAGGGTATGAAATTTTAAATTAACCACCTTTTGCGTTTTTAAGTCCCTATTAGTTTGATGCAGACAGTGGGGAGTAGTGAGAAGCAATAAAATTCATGTTTAAATCACCATTGATCACTGGCACCATGAGGGCAAATAGACTGAAATGGCTGGGGCATATTGAGAGAATATCAGGTGACAGAGGTAAAAACTGTACACAAGGGAGCTGAATGGTCGTAAACAAAAGCATGGGTGGTAAAATATGTGCACACGCTCGTGTAAGAACACGCATACCCATGCAAACCCATTCACTCACTTACACACACACAGGCACCCCATACACACACACCTATATACATACACACAGTCACATACACGTAGCCGCACAGAAAGACACCTACAACACACCACTGACGCACACAGACATAAACCCACACAGGCACAAACATACACAGGCAGGGAAACATAGACATACGCACCACTCACAGTCACACACGCCGACACACAAACAGATCAGATATATGCACACACAGATATCAGAGATAAATGGAGGCGGGTGATATCTGCAGCAATGAGGAGGTAAAGGTGGCCAGTGTGATACTGCCCACATCATCCACTGAAGATTCTTCTGTATTTTATCTCCCTGTAGAGCAAAGGCCTTCAACTGGCTTTTATGAAGTCCTGTGTGTTAATTTTCTGTTGGATGAAGTCACTAGTCTCTTGCCGATTCTTTTTATCACATTTGACCGCCTTTACTTCCCAGAACATTTCCAAATACTAAATACCCATTTTAGGCTCCCATTCAATCTTGCTGATTAATAAAGATCCTGAAAAAAACCCAGCTCATATTTCTTGTTGAATTCTTTTAGTATTATTCACCATGTATGAAATGACCATAAACTGTTGAGTGTGTGTCCCCCGACCTATCAGAAGTGGGCTCGTGTGGGGGGAGGGGGAGGGACCAACATATGTCATGAAGATATATAGAGAGAATAGTCAATAAACAAGAGCATAGTGAAGCACTAAATGTAATAAATTCTCTGGGGACCTAAAGAAGAAAATATCAAGTTACTCATGCCCTGACCTCTAACACTGGGGCTGACAGTAAACTTTGAGGTCAACTTGGCTTTTAAAAAAACCATTTGATTTGAATGAAAAACCCCTAAATGCTGTTTGTAGTTATATTCATATCCTGACTTTCTAATCGTTTTTGCGTTCTTGAACACAGCAAATAGCATTAACTATTCATCTTGTAAACAAGGTGGAAAAGTGACATTTACAGAAAACTGGCTCCAACTAGAAGTGTCGGTTTTGCTATCTGTTTCATTATCGAGGCCACCAAGTCACTCAAATGATGAATTTCTTATATTTAGTGTATTTTAAGCATTAACGAGTATAATGTTCAGTTGGGCTGTTGGTACACAGTGTTGTGGCTCGCTCTTCCCCCCCCCCCCCCCCCCCATATACACTTGCACATGAATATACCAGAGTGTAAAAACAATAAAATGAAGAGCAAGGATGATATGGACAGAGAATTGACAAGCAACACTTGCAGTTACCTTTAAATGTTGAAAACAATACAACTTCCAATATACAGTTAAATCTTCAATTCACTCTGAGGCCAAATATACACGTAACATCCCCAGTGCTGGAGGCTGGTGTGTCCAGGATTTCCTGTCTTTTTGTTGTGTTACTTATTGATAAAGGCTCTGACCAAAACATTCAACTGTTTTTTTTTCTACTCAAACTAGTATAAGAATATAAAAAGTCTAAGAGTATATTAGTGTCCAATGCCTTGGAGAAAACACTGACTCACTGAAGCCCAGCCTTGGGTGGATTATCACAACAAAGAAAACTGCCAGTCACTTTAGAAAATAATTAGCTTGTGTCAATATGGCAAATAAAACAAACATGCCTTAGATAATAACATGGTTTTTAATAAAGTGCATTCCTGTAGCTAGCTGAGAACAGTATTCAACAGTATACACAGCTGCATACTACCACTGAAGCCAGCAGAAAGGTTCACAGCAGAATATTTTAACACTTGTTAGCATGTGACGGTGGGCTTATTCGGCCAGTGAATTACATTAGAATAGTCAGCTGAACACCATATCAGAGAAGCCAATACATTTAATAAACCTGAGTGGTCTGGAACCTGTGACTGAAGCATGGGACAACTGCATTCAGCAAACTATAAGGAATCGCTTATTGGGCAATGTACAGAAAGACTTTGCCAAAATCACCTAAGTGCAACTTCAGCAATTTTCACCTAAGTGTATTTTCAGGGTTATTTGTTGCTTTACAACAAAGCCAAAAGACACATGTGTGAATTCGAATTCCAAGAAAATCAAAGTCTTCTTCTTCGTCGATCCTTCTGTCAGAAACATATATGAGGAAGCAGGTAGCCTTTATGAAAGTTATCATGCAGTCCATATCCTCTCGTGTACCATACAGCTTTGTCTTCATTGTGGTTGGAACAGGCCAGATTGTGCCTCTGTTGACAGCATACAGTTGACAGTGTTGGAGCACATGCTCAGCATTTTCGGGTGCCACTCTGCAGGGACATGTCTCCGTGTTTCCTACACCGAAAAATGTGAACATATGTTGACAAAGTCTGTTATGCCCAGTCCTTAGTCTGAATTTTTCACACAAGTATTCAATTTTTATCTGTCATTATGTGGGTTTTTTCAGAGAGATTTCAATATGCAAATGCAATTTTCTAGAAACAAAGATTTAATCAGTACCTAGGTGATCTTGGCATAGCACCAGCGATGTGTGCTGTGGAGTAGACAACAGGGCAAAATACAAAATATATTGATCACACTTTGTATCCTGAATTTTCCCCAACTGCCTTGACATAGCTCATTATCTTTTCTGTTGATGTTTGCAAATTTTGAAACTTAGCTGCTGCAGTGGTCTGTTCTATATAACTTAATTGTATGGCATTTCAGTGCATGTCATAAATTCAAACCTTCTTTATCCTTGCCTTAAAAAAAAAAAGCTTTTAATCTATTACCAAGGGATCAGAGGAAAATAGAACTTTTTTAGGTTCCCATCTTTACATGTCGGCAGCTGTGGCATGGGGGCGTCGCGAACGTGCTTCGTAATGCTAAGGCGCCGGGTTCGATTCCAGCTGGGGGCCTTGCGTTGGCTTTGACAATGGATGAAGAAGCCGACCGACCAGAAAGCAATGGCAAACTACTGGATGTAAATATGCCTAGAAAAACCACAATAGCAACAACAACAAAATGCTGAGTTTGGTTCTGCAACCTCCTGCAAAAGGATACACAACTAACATCTTTACATAAACATACTGTTATTAATCAAGAAAAGGTCGACCTAAGTGCAACTTCAGCAATTTTCACCTAAGTGTATTTTCAGGGTTATTTGTTGCTTTACAACAAAGCCAAAAGACACATGTGTGAATTCGAATTCCAAGAAAATCAAAGTCTTCTTCTTCGTCGATCCTTCTGTCAGAAACATATATGAGGAAGCAGGTAGCCTTTATGAAAGTTATCATGCAGTCCATATCCTCTCGTGTACCATACAGCTTTGTCTTCATTGTGGTTGGAACAGGCCAGATTGTGCCTCTGTTGACAGCATACAGTTGACAGTGTTGGAGCACATGCTCAGCATTTTCGGGTGCCACTCTGCAGGGACATGTCTCCGTGTTTCCTACACCGAAAAATGTGAACATATGTTGACAAAGTCTGTTATGCCCAGTCCTTAGTCTGAATTTTTCACACAAGTATTCAATTTTTATCTGTCATTATGTGGGTTTTTTCAGAGAGATTTCAATATGCAAATGCAATTTTCTAGAAACAAAGATTTAATCAGTACCTAGGTGATCTTGGCATAGCACCAGCGATGTGTGCTGTGGAGTAGACAACAGGGCAAAATACAAAATATATTGATCACACTTTGTATCCTGAATTTTTCCCCAACTGCCTTGACATAGCTCATTATCTTTTCTGTTGATGTTTGCAAATTTTGAAACTTAGCTGCTGCAGTGGTCTGTTCTATATAACTTAATTGTATGGCATTTCAGTGCATGTCATAAATTCAAACCTTCTTTATCCTTGCCTTAAAAAAAAAAAAAGCTTTTAATCTATTACCAAGGGATCAGAGGAAAATAGAACTTTTTTAGGTTCCCATCTTTACATGTCGGCAGCTGTGGCATGGGGGCGTCGCGAACGTGCTTCGTAATGCTAAGGCGCCGGGTTCGATTCCAGCTGGGGGCCTTGCGTTGGCTTTGACAATGGATGAAGAAGCCGACCGACCAGAAAGCAATGGCAAACTACTGGATGTAAATATGCCTAGAAAAACCACAATAGCAACAACAACAAAATGCTGAGTTTGGTTCTGCAACCTCCTGCAAAAGGATACACAACTAACATCTTTACATAAACATACTGTTATTAATTAAGAAAAGGTCGACAATAGACAGTACCTCTAAGTCACACCCCTACCTCCACTTTTTTTTTCTTTCAACTTCAGCAAAAACAAACCATTCATTCTAACTGGCTATCTACTGAGCATGAAATAAATAAATACAAATTATTTACAATCTTAAAAGTATCAAAACACTTAGTATGAAGCATTTAATTCTAAAAATATCTACAAATCTCTAGATTTAAAAAAAAAGTCTTTATCAGGAAATGCCAGATTTTATGACCTGTACAGCAGACGCTGATAATGTGGATAAACCTCACTGTCAGGAATGTGCAGATAAAACTCAATGGCAACCAGGCACTCAATCTCATACTGCAAGAGCTCTTTACGATTCACTCGGAGATCATCAACTGCTTGCTGGGAAGACAAAAATATATAAGGAAAAAACTACAACAATAATGAAGTGACAAATTTCATAATAAATCTTTCCCCGTGTGGGTTCCGGGGCCCCACTGTGGCGAAAACAAGAATATACCGACTGCCTACTCAAAAGCATCTTGTAAGAGTCAACTAATTGGGGTATTCCTTCGAAACTGGAGTGTATCTACCTTAGAGGCAAGGAACCAACAATCTTCTCTTCCACCTTGTACCTTAGCGAAGTGTCGGGGGGAAATGTAACATTCATTGATGAGCTCTGTCAAGAGCACTGTTAAGGTTGATGTTCATTTATGTAAGGCTGTTCTTAATGCCATCACTCCAACTTTTCCGAGGTCTTCCACTGGCTCTATACCCGTTGTAATGTTTTAGCATAGCTCGCTGTGGCAGATAGTACCAGGGCATTCTTGTTAGGTGTCCAAAACACTTCATTTGTTGTTCTTTGATGACTTGAGAGACTGGCTTTATTCCTTGCATTCGTCTGATTCCGTGATTTGGTATTCTGTCTTTCCTTGAAACTCCTGCAGCTCTTCTAAGGCATTTCGTCTCTGTTGAATTTTACATTCATTGGAGGATGTAAGTGTCCAGGTTTGGCAGTGATAGCATAGTGTTAGCCAAAAATAGTTTTGATAAGATTCACTTACCAACAATCTGCTTACAATTAAGTAAGATCTGTAAAACGGATGTGCGCACAACACTCAGGTTCAGAACAAGACTAAAGTCTAGAGATAGACGAGCAACCAGAACTTTCCACTGGAGTTTACAGCCGGTGAACGCAAAGAAGAAGAAGATAATACATCTTCAGTTCCTTCTTTCTGTATACTTGTTTCTCTCAAAATACACCCTACAATTTCCCCCCCCCCCCCCCCCCCCTAATAAGTCCTCGTTAAGATCAGCTAGAAAAAGACTTGTTGCCAATGTAATGATGTTGCTTGGTTTGCCAGGTGGTGAACAAGGTCTGCTAGTCTGGGATTCAGTCAGCTGTCATCAAGCTACAGACATGGAGAACATCCTTGGAGAGAGAACAATAGTTCAAATAATGATTCCTGCAGGAATGACTTCTTATCGCAAGACTCTTGATATTGCACTAAACAAGTCATTCAAGTACATTTGCACATAGAAATTCACGACTTTACTGGAGAAAAAAAAATGAAGAGAAGTCAGAGTGGAAACTTTGTGAAGCTAGTTTGTAGGAGGCCCTGACTTGATGAAAGAATTCATGGGACAAGAAATGCTAATTGCCATACATGAAAGACTGAGGACAATGGTTTTCAGGAAATGGAGTCGCAAGATATTCAGGCCGGAATTCAGGATATGGGAAGTTATGACGATACTATGTGTGGGTGTGTCCCACACTTTTTTAAAAGAGATGTCGTGTGGCTGTCTCCCCCCCACCCCATCTTTTCCTTTCCTTTCCTATTTTTTTTTTTTACATTCACACACACATATCTGTACAGAGAGACAGACATCAAAATTATCTCTACAGAAAATTTAAGCAAACAAATCAACAATAAGGAAACATACTTCTATAACTTTGGTAAGAACTGGTCCCTTGACATCATTCAGCTTACAAGACAAGAGAAGACAAGCTCCTGCACAAAGCTTGCGGTTCAGCTTGGTAATCAATTGCTGAAAGAGAAGAAAATACACACACTACAGTATTAAGCTACCAGCAGGGCATTTCTAGATAAGCAAACCATGCATAAAGTAAAGTAGAGGACCCTCTTCCACATCTTCAGGTGTACTGAGCATACAGTGCTAAACCTATATGTTATAAACATTCAGCATTTAGTGGGCAACATCACACCAGCCACCTTTACTTCCTTGTACTTAACCTGAAACCCATTCAAGGCTGGGTAAGCCTAGGACCCAAGGTCATTTTTAAAAAAAATGGTTTCATTTGGATTTGAACCCATGAACTATGGATCCACAGGTGAGTGTCTAGTCGCTAGATCACGGCAGCTCCTAACCATGGATAAAGATAGGGTTGGGTTGAGTTGAGCTGAGGTGATTCAAGAGCCAAAATCACAGCACTCTGGGTTATTCCCATTAGGGCTCTGACATCATTTTCAGCAGCCAGGGCAAAGTTCCAATACCATTGGTGCCAGTAGCAATCTGATTATACGTCCATCTTTCCTTTCCTCTGAACGTATTGGCTAGATACACTCATCACTTCTCCCTGCATCACTCTCACCAGACTATGGTGATCCATTTGCTCCTCCCAATCGTACACGTTCTCCCATAAGGCCCTAACCACGTCTGCCTTATCATGCATCAGTATTCCACCAGGTTGTGCAGAGCCAGCCAGCCAGCCTGTCTTTACATTTTCCAACACTCCGACATCCCCAGAGAAAAGATCCAGACAATGCTTTTCACCCGTGACCTCCAAGGCGGAGCACTCTGCATGAATCATGCCTGTCTGCAGCATGCTTTCTAAGTCAGTTACAATTACCGTGTGTGTTCTCTAACCAGCAGAACACTGCAATGGCTGCCTCCACCTCCATTCTTAAGATATACGTTGTGTTGTCATATGCTAGGCTCTCCTGCACCAAACTATTGACCACTAGCTTTTGCTAAGAACCCTCAAGCAGTTTTGACTCTTGACACTGAACTGTCTGTATAAATAATTACATTATCTGAGTGAACATTATCTTCAATTAATTGCTGAATTTCCTCCTCTGTGGTACTTGCTGGTCACTCTTTGCACTCCCAGCTCAATGTGATTATGACTACACAATAATCTGCCTAGCTGCGTTCTGTATGCGCTCTAGTTTAACCAGCTGACTCTTTGACACAGTTAGCAGTCCTAGTCCATAATCAATCACTGAGGGGATAAAGTGCTGATATGGTGTAAAAAGTATCTGTATTCTATGTCCACTGCAGCCATATCTTAAGTGTATTGAGTCCTTTTTGGTATCTTGTCAAAACCATCTCCACATGGTCCTTGAAGAACAGGCGCCTGTCAAATGTGACTCCCAGATACTTCAGTTTGCTCTCTCTGTTGAGGTTTCTACCATCGTCAGACTTGGGACAATCCTGTTTGTTTTTTAGAGAACATCACAAAACAGACTCCTTTTCTGCACTAATCTCTGTACATCAGTAAATCCCTTTGTCTACTGTCGCCTGTAGCTCCTAGGCTGTTTGACCATATCTCCCCCCTCCCTATACAGAAGAATATCATCTGCATATGTCAGTATCCTTCCAACTCCTGGTGCTTTTAGGCTTGCAATCATATTTGTATACACGTTAAAGAGCACAGGTGAGATTGCAGATCCCTGTGGCTATAATGCATGGCTCTGAGGCCCATGTACCCAGACAGAGAGTAACCCGATTAGAATACAATTCACCATCCAGGGACTGACCCCCTTCTCCATCTGCGTGGGTATCAAAATGTTGTATCTTACTTTATTATACGCATCCTTGAGATCCAGCACTGCTGCCATCATTTCCTGTCTCTTCTGGAATCCTTCATAAATGTCAAAGGCAAAAGTGGCTGCATTCGACCAGGTATCTTTTCCTGACCTGTAGCAAGAGAAGCTTCCCCCTTTCCAAATATTCTTGCAGCTTGACAGCGATTATCTTCTCTAAGACTTTCCAAATGTATTTTGTAAGATGATGATTCTAAAGCCACTAAGTTTTGAATGATTCATGCATGGTTTGCTCAAGTGGGAATCACACAGCTGTGCTCCCAATCCTGTGGTACTACTGATGCTGGCCTAATGCTTTGGTTAAAGTAGCTGGTCATCTCTCTCAGGTCAAAACGCTTTATGTGGCCATACCTAATAACCCCATCAGACCCTAGTGCAGTGTCTTTTGCCTTTTTCAAAATATGAAATCCTCAACTCGTATGTCTTCATAATGCACATTTTGTAATGGTGACAGATAACTCCTCTCTAACTGCATCTCTGATGTCTGCATCATTATGATCTGTAAATGAGTGGGGTAGTAAGACAAGGCTATATTACAGTATATATTCATTCACCCACATCTTCTATGTTCACCATTAAAAGGACAGTTTGCAAACTGTGCTGTGGTTTACAGCTAGACTGTGATATCTGTACCTTTCGACCCAGCAGATTCAATTTTAGTAAAGCCTTAATTGGTCCCCTTTTATGACATGCTTGTTAACTCTACCAGTCCCAAGCAGTTGTAACTACAACATTTGTTGTCCCAAAGTCTGGGTTCATTCATGTACAAATCTTTGAGTTTGAATGGGTTAAATAAAACAATTATGTGACACATAACTTGTTAATGTAACGGAAGAAAAGGACAAAAGAGGTTAATAAATATATACAATATACACAGAGTAATCAATGAGCACTCAGCTATCTGCTAATGAAAGAGGACAGTAAGTATTCTTTCCCCTTATATGGGGGTTACTAAACCAACATTAATAATTTTGACATACCATGAAATCACCGCCAACAGGTCTATATAGATCTAGCCAAATAAGCCTGAAGCCATGGAAAAGGGTCCTTAACTTTTATGATATAGTTAAAAAAAAAAAAAAAAAAACGAGACACACAAACATCTCACCTTCAATATAATTTTCTCAAAGAAAACATATGCTTGTGCTACTGTCCACAAATCAACTGAACACTAGCATGGAAGAAAAAATGGAAGCATACAAAGTTGGATACCCATAAATAGTTATTGTGCAGAACATAAGATATTTTAGTGCAAACATTGTGGATCTTCAAGGCAAAACCATTTTCCTTGGTTGTGGGTTTGTTTCACGGCTGTGTCATTGAATTCACAAGTGCAATTTTTAAGGAAACCCCCTTGGAATCGTCACCGGAGTTACAGTTGTTCATAATTTGTGTGACAGTCCCGGCAGGCAGGTTAGCTGTTCTGCAGAGAGTAACCGAGCTATACGGGATAAAACCAGGTGCAATGAAGTCAATATTCTCGACTTTAATGTAAATATTAAAAGAAACGCACAATTCCAACGTTTAAAGGTTGTTAAATTGAGAATCCACATCACAGCACTCAGGACATTCCCATAAGCGCTCCATTCCCATCTTCAGCAACAAGTGAAAAGTTCCAATTCCGATGGCACCAGTAACTGTTAATGTTCATCTGTCTCATCTTTCCCTTGGGTGTTGAGTGTCAGCCAGATCCCCTGGTTAACTCCTCAAAGCGCCACTTTCCTCAGACAGTAATGATCTGTTTGAGCCTCCATACTGTTCACTCACTCCCAGAGCACCCTCACAACACCTAGCTTGTCATACAACAATTCACCACCGCCCCGTGTGGGTTCCGGGGCCCCATTGTGTGGGAGAAAACAAGAATAGACCCACTGCCTCCCCAAAAGCATGTCGTAAGAGTCGACTAATTGGGGAGCTTCCTTTGAAGTCAGAGTGCATCTGCCGGAGAGGCAAGGAACCAACAGTCTGTATTCAAGAGAATGAGATCTGTAAAACTGATGCACACGCAACACTCAGGTTCTGGAGCAGGACTGCAGTTCAGTAGTGGACGAGCAACCAGAACTTTCCGCCAGAGTGTACAGCTGGTTAATGCGAAGAAGAAGAAGAAGAATTCACCACCAAGTGGGGCAGATCTGGCCAGTCTATCTGCCTGCTCATTTCCCAACACACCGGCATCACCTGGAGAAAATATCCATTTATAAGTCTGTTATTTGATACTATTTGAAATGTGTGATGGTGATGCTTATATACCAGCTTCGTTTACCAGCTGTTTTACCTTTCCACACGCAGTTTCTTCAAGGTTATTTTTATATTTACTTGTTCTACAACTTCCTTACATATCCTTAATTTTTTTTTACCAAGAAACGCGCTCTAGTCTTCAGAAAATCCACACTTAAAAAGCACAATTTTTAGTCAAGTTACACTTGACTACAAGAATTTGTAAAAAAAAAAAAAAAAAAAAAAAAAATCATATATAAGAATTCAAAGAAAAAAGAAACCAAACAGGCAAACTATTAACAGATTTTTCTTATTCTTCACTTTCACTGGCTGTAAATTACAGTGAGTTCAAGTTGTTTAATTACTTCTGGACTTCAGTCCTGTAAATGAATTTGAGTTTTACAAGCATATTCATTTTACATGAGATCAACTGTTTGTGGGTCGATTCTTTTTACCCCAACAACCTGGCCCTGGAACCCACATTGAAATTAACATAATAACTGTACTACATTAAAAAAAAAAAAAAGTCCTAATAGTGCCCTGTACTCACGAACTAAGTTGAAAATGGCATTTAATCTCAAATCTCATTTTAAGCAATTTTACATCCATGAAACTGGAAATTACATACCCTCACATGTGCAATCTGGAACAGTTCTCTCTTCAAACTGGGAAAAAAAGCAAAAAAAGCGATTAACTGAGAACAATCTGTAATCATATGTATGTGACTGGAACTAAACCAGTTGAACAATCTGTAATCATTCTATGTCACTGGCACTAAAACAGTCGAACAATCTGTAATCATACATATGTCACCGGCATTAAAACAGTCGAACAATCTGTGATCATATGTATGTCACCGGCACTAAACCAGTCGAACAATCTGTAATCATACGTATGTTTAAATGTTTAAACGCAATTTTCTCAAAACATTGATTTTACCATATAGGTGATTTCACATTGGTGCCAACAATACATATTTGGCTAAATTATTATAGTGTGAATTACAGATAATTGTTAATTACAGGAACAGCCGTTTCTACCAAATATACCACACTGATATTTTTGTTATATACATAATGCAATTTGGAAAATAGAAATTCATTATGTTTGCTGCAATTTAATATTTTTCTTTTCAAGGTTTTGCACAGATAAGTTACTTATTAGACTGCTAAATATTTGTTCTTGTTTTTTTTTTTTTTTAAATAAGATACTGCATTGTTCTTTTATAACCATAACAGCTAGTCTTCTTTCTCATTTGATTTCATATGATTACATATCATGCCAATATGTGTGGGTAACCACTTTTCCACATCTCAAATAAAGAGCAATCTTTCCCTGATCAGATATTATCTATTCAACAGCTATATCCATTAAGTCTGATCAAGAAAAAAACGAATCATCCATTATGCAAACAGTTACATGATTGCTACAGAGCCAGATACGAAAGTATTCTCTGGTAGATGTCTTCAAATAGAGCAAAGGATTGCCCATGTATATTGCTATGTAATTTCTCTGAGTGTTGAAAGTCAGCCAGATCTGTGGTCACTGACTGCTTAGTCTTATTTGAGGTTTCAACTTCATTGCAATTGGGTTTCCCCATACTTGCTGTGTTCCTGCGCCAGTGGAAATCAAATCACCGTTTGCTGCTTCCTTTGAAGTTGGAGTGCCTCCTGCCTAAGAAGCAAAGAACCAATAGGCTGCATCACAAAACTCAAGTTCTGGAAGGAGACTAAAGTTCAGAAGTGGATGAGAAATCAGAACTTTCCACCCAAGCTTACAATGCCAGTGAATACAAAGAAGAAGACTTCTAACTACACAATTCTCTTCAGACTATGATCATCGATTTGCTCCTCTGCACTATTCATTCATTCCAAAACAGTCCCGACAACATACATTATCTTCAGCTATGATATGAGGATGTCAATGACTTAATATGTGTAAGCATCAATACAGTTGCACTAAGGACAACAGTTTATATGGTCAGCCTCTCCCTTGATACACTAAATGGGATAATGCTGTTTAGCTTTTGTAAACACTATACAGGTTTTTTGCTGAGTGCGTCATATCATCCTTCAAGAGCATTATTTCCTTTATGTTCCCATGACAAGACTCTGCCCTTTGCCAGTTTACCTGCCTCATAATATTTCATGCCAAAGTATTTCTAATGTCCTGTGTCCATCTTTGTTCTGGTAAAACCCTGCCTCTTTTGCCAGTAGTCATTACTGGTGTTCCAAATTTACTGCCATTTGCCATTACTGCCTTATAGACAGGAGGATCTTTGAGCCTGAGGATTTAGGGCCACATGGCTGTCATCAGGTTAGGATTTTATTTCTGCTCCCCCCCCCCCCCCCCCCCCCCCCAAAGAAAAAAAAACCATAACTTTTTAGAGGAATTGAACCCAGGTCTCCAGCATGAGAGCCTAGCATTTTACCTGCTCAGCCAGCCCCTCTACAAACCCACTGCTGCTTCAATACAGCCACAGTTATGTTATATCAAATAATTCTCCTTAAGTCTGCATTTAGGACAGTGGCTCTCAACCTTCCTAATGCTGCAACCATTCAATACAGTTCCTCATGCTGCGGCGACCTCCAACCATACAATTATCTTCATTTCTACTTTATAACTTTAGTGAATATGTATTTTCTGATGGTCTTATGTGACCCCTGTGAAAGGGTTGTTCATCCCCCAAAAAAGGGACCGACCCACAGGTTGAGAACCGCTTTTTTAGGGTGTTGCTGCTTAGGAGCTCAGTAGATGGAAATTTACAAGTTGGAAAGGCAGGATTCAATGAGATGCATTTAAAATGTAAAATCTTCTTCTTCTTTTTCTTGAAGAAGAAGAAGAAAAAAATGAAAAATAAAGTGTAATTAAAAATGTGTGAATTAAACAACTAAACGGATTTGAGAACTTGGAAAAAGAGAACTGGAAAGACAAAGAGATAAATTTCTTGATGGCTTGACCATACAGATGGGGGCTAGACAGGAGCAGTGACCTGATCTAAGATTCTGGTGGTCGTGGGAAATGGCAAAACATGACCGCTGGCGCTTATCAACAGAGCACACGATGACGATGAACGAAACAAAAAAAGAGCAACAATCAAATATTGAAACATACCTTCTAAGCTTCGAGAGGGTAAGCTGTACGTTGGGAAACCTTTCTTTAAATTTCTCATTAAGTTCTTTCTTCAACATTGATGGTTTCACATAGTCTATGATTGATGTCTGAAATGATCATATTTCACAATTATATAGTTTCAACTGAGGAAGTGAACTGATCACACTACATCACTGTAAGGTAAACTAAAAGTAAAGTAAAGCACCCTCTTCCACACCTTCAGGGTTGGACCTATATTTTCTAGACTAAAGGCACTCGGTGAGAGAAGTAGTCAACATTACGTTGGTCACCTTTACTTCCAGGACTTTACCGGGTAACCATTTAAGGCTAGGTCGACCTGGGGGCCAAGATGCAGCTCCATCAGGACCTGAATCTATGACTTTTGGATCTGCAGGTGAGCATCTAGCCACTACACCATGGCAGCTATCTTATAAAGCAAAGGATTTTGTTCTTTTTAGGTGTATTGGGCAATTAGGGCTAGACCTATATTTTATAGACCAGCCCTTGGTGAGTGAGTGGTCAACATCATACCAGTCACTTTTGCTACCCAGGCCGGATCAACATGGGAGCCGTCATTTTCCAGAAGAAGAAAAAGGTCAGGCACTATCTGGATTTGAACCCAGGGCTTTTGGATCCACAGATGATCGTTTAGCTGCTACACCATGGTGGCTTCCCCATCATAATGCTATGGCCTCATATATTTAAAGGCCTAACAATTCAGACCCCAGTGGCAGCATCTTCAAGGGAACTAACCACCTTTTATAGTCTTATCATGATCGTTATGGTTAGGTGTTATGGTTCCAGCAAATGAGCTTGGCCCATAATTGCTCAACCTCCTATGCCAGTTTTTACAGTCACAAACTGAGTCAGATACGCTGGATACTTCAAGTGAATGCCGCAGCCATACAAAGTGTCCTCAGTCAGCACTCTGTGTCCTTATCATCATCATCATCATGTTGTGGCATTACGTGCCACATAGGGCTCACAGTATATTCTTCCATTTCATTCTATCCTGTGCCATCCTTTCGATATTATGAATGGAATTCAGGCTAGCACATTTAGACTCTCTCATCAATGTCCATCTTAGGGTTGCTTTCTGGGCATCCTCGCTTCCTGAGTCCTTTTATTTATAGCCTCAAGTAAGTTAATAAAGCCATACTAGCTGTCCTCTTGTGGGATGCAATTTTTCAGAATTTTGAAGCCCCACCCTGGCTCTTGCCAGGGGCGGCAATATAGCCCAGCCATAAATATGGGCTTATGGCTGAACATGGTTTCCGGGACTTCTCCACGTGTTATCCTCATCCACATGGTGGCACTTTGTGTCATCAGGTGTTTATCGCTTGTGTGACGTCCTGCTGGGGTAAAATGTACTACTAATAAAGCCACTAAAAAAGAAAAAAACAAGTAAATTAAGAACGCTGCCTTTTTCTGAATTTACCTACCTCTAAAATTATTAATCTACTCACTCATTTAAGGCTACAAAATGTTATTCCACCCACAGTGTTGGAGTCGCTGTGTGTAGCAACTAGATGCTCGCCTACAGTTCCAAAGATCATTCCAGTTCTTTTTTGCCCTCCTCTTCTTAGACTACACCCCCCCCCCCCCCCCAATCCCGTTTTCCAAACGTTTCTTGTCCAGTCTTTGCAATCAAATCATGTGTCACCATGTGCCCAAACCAAGCTAGCTTATACTACTTTTTAAAACCCAATCAAAAGTAGAATTTGTGCAGACTCAAATTTTTGCTGTGAAAGCAATAAAGAGCCTTCACTCTTTCAGTACCAGGTAATAAAAATCACAATATGATATTTAGGTTAATTTTTTTTACAGATTGGCTCTCTGTGGCGCAGAAGCGGGAAAGGGGGTCTTGCCATATTTTCCAGGAGGTGACACCTGACAAAGTTTGGAGACCACTGGTTTAAACTGTACAATACCAACCAGATAAGACTTGAAGGTCAGCTCAGTTCTGTAACTCCCAGACTGCAGTTCTGGATCATCCAGCTTGTTAGGATGATAGACATCAATTGAGTCTTCCTGCACTGTGTTGTCATAATGTGAACCAAAAATAACAGTTATAAAGACATTTAAACAAGAGAAAACAAGTTTCAGTGTGCAAAACTGAAATGTGTTTTGTTGCAATATTTGTCTAGCCACAAACTTTTCTGCTGAATGTTGAATGAAGAATCGACATAGCAGCACTTGGGACATCCCATTAGCTCTGTGTCCCCCTCTTCAGCAGCAAACTCAGAGTTCCAATTACGAGTACAGTTTGATAAACTTGTCTTTTGCTTTAGCCCAGTAATGTTAATGTTTGTGACTTGGAGGTTGTTGTGAATGTAGTTTGACTACTTCAACATGGGCGGGCTGGTGGTGGTGGTGGTGGGGGGGGGGGGGGGGGTGGGGGTGGGGGGGGGGGGGGGTTTGAAGATAGTTGCAAGCAATTTAGTAGCAAGATGATTTTAAACGATTTTGATAATGTTTTAGTGTGTACCACTTGGAAATTAATGACAAAGTAGTGAACAAAAAATAATAATTGCCTAACAAAAAAACAAAAAAAACCTACACATCCAGTCTCTTCTTTTTCACTGACTGTAAACTCAGGTGGAAGGTTTTGGTTGTTCATCCACTTCTGGACTTTGGTCTTGTTCTAGAACTTCAGTTCTGTATGCACACCCATTTTACACATCTTGCTTATTTGTATGCAGAATACTGTTTCTTCGTCTCTCTCCAACTTCAAAGGAAACACCCCTAATTAAACGACATTTATGACATGCTTTTTGGGCGGGTGTGTCTATTCCTTTCCCCCCCAAAAATGGGGCCCCAGAAGCAAAAACATAGTGAACACAGTAAATTCTGAGGATGTTTTACAAAGTCCTGTGAACAATAAGAACTAACTTTATCAAGGTCACGCAATCGTGTTAGTGTCAGAGATTCGTTATTATCTTCGTGGTACTCCAGACATGTCCGTAGGCATTCGGATTCTTTTTTCCTTTAAAATATACATCAGCGCCACCTGGTTTACAGTGCTACTGCTCTGCTGGTTGACAAGACATCTTGTATGTCTGGTGTGCCTCTCATACCAGGCTGTGCTGATCTTTAATCCCAATTCTCACATTCTTAGCAGTGATGGGGACACACTGCTCCTAAATTTCTCTTATTATCCTATCTTTCAAGGTAGAAGAGGAGCGACTAAGTAAGTAAGTCTAAGAGCACTGACAATGTCGGCCGGCTCTATTGGCCGAGCCATCTGCAACTAAAGCTTGGTCGAGTAATGCAAAGAGGGTGCTGCACAGCCTCTTCAAGATCAGTGTTGAAATAGGCAGACTAAGAGAAATGACGTTGCATGCTCTCAGACAACAATAGTCTATGGTTAAGCAACAGTTAGGAAATGACAGTGAAAATTATGAGAAGAAGCATCTTCCCTGTAGCAACATATGGATTTGAGTTGTGGACTATCTAGTAGTCCTTAAGGAAGAAAATCTGGATTTTTGAGCTGAAATTCTATAGAAAGATTCTCAGAATACTATGGGCCAAAAAGAAAAGATTTTAACATCAAGGAAGACAGGCTGTTATTCTAAAACATTTAGGCCATACAAGAGCCAAAATGGATTGAAAAGAATAACAGCAGAAGACCTGATATCAGGAAAGAGGGGCAGGTGCTGACCAGCATGAAGATGGGCACAGGATATAAGCTACATCTTGGTTAGGAAAGTGCACTGCATGAGGTGGGAGAGACAGTGAGATGCCAAATTACTTTCAGGCAGACAATGAGGAAAGTGACGTTTTGCAAAGGACCTACTACATGATGATGGTCTGAGACAGTGATACGGAGGCAAATCATCAACAGAACTGACTCAGATCTGGCAGGGTACAAATTAATGTTCATTTTCAGGTAAACATCCTAATCTTTATTACTATTATTTTATCCAGAATTTCTCTGTTTATGACCCCCCAAAAAGTGTCTGTTTTTCTGTGGTCATTTTGTTACTGATACCTTCCTGTTATATTTAGAAAGTCTAAAGTTATAACCAAACTGCTGACTTGCTCAAGAATGTGTTTTACAATAATGTGTTGCTCATTGTTTCAAAATATTTTTTGCTGCAAAAGATTATACTACTATTTTTTAAATGTGGCTTCTACATTTGCTATTATATTAAAATATGGAAAACATAGGCTCATTCTTCAAAATCTGGCCTTTACCTCAGCACATATTTCAAAATATATACACTGGCTTATGTTTCAGAACTTGGTTTTCATATAAGCTATTTAAAAAAAAAAAACATTTTTATTTCAGCTTATGTTTTTAAACACACATAGTTTTTTTTTTTTACATAAACTTATTTCTGTTGAAAATATAAATAGTCTTAAATCAGTTAAGGACATTAAGTAGTATTCCTTTTAAAATTAATGTGCCCCACGCAAAATGTTTGTAAATAAACATCCTAAAGTAAAACTAATGATATCTGTTTGCACACATCATCAGTTCTCTTTATGCCTAGTGGCACATGAGGCTTTAGAGAGGATTTTCCATGCTTTCCTGTCCTGTGCAATCTTCAGTGCAGTTTTCCATGTCAGAGATGCAGTACTCAGCTCACTATCTATCGTTTGTCTCATGCTGTTTTTGGGCGCCCTCTTCTTTCTCTCTGACACACAAATTGGCCATAATCCTGCTGATTAAACAAGTCAAACTCCTTATTTTAAAAAATATACTCCTTCAAGATATTATTCTGATTCTAAATTTAATGCACTGAGCCATACTAAAAGAAATACTTCAACTTATTTTCCAATTCATTTATCCATAACTGCCTGAAGATAAATAGAAAGAGGAAGAAAAACAAAAAGGAAGAGGAGAAAAAGAACAAGAAACTTTGGAGGAAAAGAACAAGAAACTGGAGAAACCTCTGTCATCAAACGCTAAGAAATTGTTTAACTGTTTGTTGACTTTCACATTATATAATATTTAACTGAAATAGTTCTGTCCAGGCAACCACAGCGATAATTTACAGGGAATCAAATTTAGTTTCCTTTTCTTCTTCTTCATGTTCACCGACTGTAAACTCTGACGGAACGTTCTGGTTGATCGTCCACTTCTGGATTTAGTCTTCTTCCAGAACATGAGTTTTGTCTGCACATCCATTTTACAGATCTGGCTTATTTGTATGCAGCTTGTCTATTCCTTGCCTCCCAGGCAGATGTATTCTTCTGACCTCAAAGGAAACCCTTACAACATGTTAGGGAAGCTGTGGGTCTACTCTTTTTTCTTTCACAAAGAGGCCCCGCAACCCACTCGGGGACAATTTAGTATTAACTCTTTGAGTCCCAAGGAACGCATCATACATTCATAGGTTCCGACCTAGAAGCCCAATGAACGCATGATGCACCGATTTTATTACCTTCATTGCTACCCCCTGGGCCTGTGATGCTACACCCCCTGGGACTCAAAGAGTTAAGAGAAAGGAAGTTACGGGTAACCAGGGCTTTTTTCCCCTGGCGGCACACAACAATATGCAGTACTAGCACCTTTGTTTAGGTATATATTTTTCAGTGTTTCTGTAATAAACACTTTGTGGCAAGTACCAACACGATTTTGTTCTAGCTAAAAAGCCCTGCATTTAACACACATTACTAGATCAAGCATAAATATTAACAAAATAGTCAGTATCAACATAAAAGGGATTTCAAATGGTATCTGGAAAAATGAGGCCCTGAAGTTAGCAGCTGTTGCATGTCACCACAAGGAATCATTTTAGTAGTATAATTAAATTTTGAAAGAAACCATAGGGGAAATTTTAAATAATAGTACACAGTTATTAAAGAAATTTAAAAGCCATAAATAATATAAGCAGGAAAAGCAACCGCAAAACCTGTGACAAACAAAAGAAATAAAACAAAATACTTTTAAGTTAAGATAATAAATCCAAGGTGATAAACGACATAAAGCTGTAAAGGAAGCAAAGTATATGTACTAATAAATTATACATGGTGTGTATAACATGGTGTATATACACAATTTGATTATCAAAATAATTTGAAAAGTATACTTCTAATTGTGAAGTGAAAAGATATGAAAGGACACTGGGTGAGCTGCATGCGATAGTAAAAGGTATGATGACATGGTCAAGAGCCTATGCTCCATGGGGGACAAGGGCCAGAAAAAGAAAATGGCACCGACAGTCTATTACTCTTAATAATAATAAAATATAATCTTAAAGTATGTTATACTTCCACACTTATGGAACAGAAAATAGTTAAAGCAGTGAACTAACATAAATATCCAGTATCTGAAAAGACCACACACAAAAATATATATATTTATTTGGATTCAGCCCATGGGCCACCAGTCAGATAGCACTGTTTTAGTTTCTGGCGTTACCAGATGGTGTGATTTATTTTTCTCACAGAAAAGAAGATGAGGACGGAGCATACATGGGAATGCCCCGTCTGCAATGATGTCAATTCTTGACTCAACATTTTTTTTAAATCCATTATCTTACCAGCGATTACAACATGTGAGCATGTGAGATGTCACGTTTAAGAAATGCAGCGGGAAAAACAAGAAATGACAGTCACCAATGAAGAACTAAGAACAATTGTAGGCACAGTAGCGGTAACTGATTTCATAGAACATCGAAGAATAAAATGGTTTGGTCATCTGGTCAGAACAGAACAAAATCAGCCAGCAGCTAGAGCGTAGAACACGAGAACAACAGGCTACAAGGCAAGAGGCTGACCAAGAAAGAGATGGGTTGAGGGAGTAAAAGAAACACTACAGAAACACACTATGACATTACCAAAAGCTACACAACTAGCAAAAGACAGGAAACTACATATGCAATGCTTTATGACAGAAGCAGTAGGGCAAAAGAAGACGACGAAAGAAGAAGACCAGGGGTTGGATCACATGTATCAGGTAGTAAGGCCAGTATTCTAACCATTCAGTCAATTTCATCTCCTCTTTACTACTGTTACTCATAAGATAGCACACACTGTTATCGTGTTACTCATAAGATAGCACACACTGTTCGTAATGAAAAGCATGTACCTAATTCTACTCACTTATTTCATTACACATAACATGGAAATATGACAGTACCTGTCTCCAGGTGACAGTGCCACTGCCACTGATTAGTCGGAGAGTGCCACTGCCAAATGTGCTGGGGCTGAGGGTCATGCAGAATGCCACTGAGCAACTCATGACCTGTCAATGCAGGTATGTTATATTATGTCTTTGGTTAGGTCAATCTTGCCCTTGCACCTCCGGTTTTGCAGACATGAAAGCAGCAGAAATTAGGACCAGTACACTTCAGTCATTTCTCATTTTCTGGGTAACCCTAATTTCAATATTATTTTTTTTTTTAATTCCTGATGATTATTCTAGTTTTCTTCTTCTTGACTTCTTTTTGCCTACTGCTTATGCCATAATGCGTCACAGAGAGATGTTAGTTGTAGTTTCCTGTCTTTCGCTAGTTGCATCACTTATGTTAATGTTATATTGTGAGTCTGTCATGCCTATTTTACTCCCTCTATCCATCTCTTTCAGCTGGCGAGAGACCGAGATTCTATTCTTTCAGGCATGATGGCAGCAACGTTCTGCAAAGAACCTGCTACATGATGATGATGTTAAGTTTCTTCCCTCTAACAATTCAATTTTTGTGTATGCATGCAACCTTCCAGTCCTCTATATGTCACCTTTAACCCCTTTTCAGGATGCGTCTTCCCATCATCAGGGAAGGTTCAACCATGGTCCTAATGAACATCCAAGACCTAAAACAGGTGGCAACAAAACACCAGACATGGAGAGCTATGACCTCTGGCTTATGCGCCACCCTGGGCTCAAGAGGAAAGACATAACTAACAATACAGTTGACAATCATCCATGGGCCACTTGCTAGGCCTCTGTGGGCTGGATTCAGCCCATGGGCCACCAGTCAGATAGCCCTGTTTCAGTATCTGGCATTACCAGATGGTGTGACTTGTTTTTCCCACAGAAAAAAATGAGGACGGAGCATGCATGGGAATGCCCTGAGTGCTGTGATGTCAATTCTTGACTCAACTCAACTCAACTCAACTCTCACCAAAAAATCCCTGTCATCCGTTTCAAATTTCTAAGTTAATTAATCATATTGTGAGCCTGAATACCTTTCTTACTTAATGCTGATGATTATAAAGCCTAATTATATAGAAGAAATGTCAGACTGAAGTATGAACAAACATTAAATAAATAATGTACTAGTTTTTACCATATATGTGTATGTATGTTTGACCACATTTATGTGCATATGTTGTACATACACCTGCCTTAGCAGGACCCTCATATGAAGCAAAGAATAGTAACACTGCACCTTACCAGGGATGTCATAAGAGGCTACTAAGGATAGGGTTGGGACTGGAGTTGGCTACTTCATCCTAGAAAAACAATAACCACAAAAACCAACCAACCATGGAAAAGACAAAAACAGAAACAAGAAAAATCTAACCAACCAAGATGAGGGGAGGCTCTTCTAGTAGAAGTATGACACGGTGCAGAGAAAGCCGAAAGGAGTCCGGATCATCGATGTACCTCCTATTATCTAGGAAAATCTCCAGAATTGATACCTGGCATGTTAGAACTAATGTCTCTGCACTGGAACCTACAAAAACCATATGGACATAGAGCTAGAGAGTGAAGTTAATAATATGGGGAGAACATGGGGACTACATGCAAATGCAAAAGGATAGAACAACTTGGCGTGAGTTGATTGGGGGCCTATGCTCCTTTGGGGGGATAGAGAGCAGAAGAAGAAGATGTTGCACAAAAAGTAGTATATAAATTGGATGAGCTATTTTTAGTTGTAGTGCACTTTTGACTTCAATAGAATAATAATTTTTATTTAACTACATTTGTGTGTACATGATTATACATAAATCAGACAAGCTATTTTCAGCAGAAATGTAGGTGCTTTATTAATTTCATTCCCCAAACAGGAAAAATCCACAGGTCACGGGAAAGTCTAATATTTCAGGGGGTGGTAGATAGGCTTCATGCAGTCGTGGGACCTAGGCTGCACTTTCTCGTGAGATGTAGGTGGGTTGGGGTTAGGGCCAGTTTTAGATGTTTTGGGGTCGTTAAAAGCATCAGAAAGCCGGGAAACCCAGTCTTACCACCTTCTAAAATGTTGGACTGTCCTGTGACTTCATCTGGGGTCGGATATTAATAAAGTACTGAAATGTATTTTTGGCTTTAATATGTATGTGTTTGTTTAAGCAGACAAGCCACACACATACAAAAACCTACTGGTAGGGTTAATGTGGTTTTTGATAAGACTGCAGAAAATATGGGATGATAGAAAAATAAATGATGCAGCCCTCCTTAAGACCTACAACAATTGTAAAACTGATTAGAGAGACTAGACTTGGACAGTAAATCAATACATTTGGACAAGTTATGAAAAGGAATACACTCCAAAACTTGGCGATACTGGCAATACTGACGGGGAAAAGAAGTAAATACAATCGAGATAAATGCTTGGATGCTTTGGCCGCATGGCTAGAACCAGAAAAAAAAAAATACTGACTCGTATATAATTCTGGTGATCATGTGGGATGGCGACCTTAACCACCCATACTTATGGTTTTAGTATGGCACATGATGATAATGATGTATGTTTGTATACAAAGTGTGATATTAATTATATGGGTTGTTATTAGCACTTAAGCTGTTAATTCAGTTAATTTTAAAAACTAAAAGCCTTTACTTAATACTACTTCTATACGTACATAACGCATATGATGCTGTCTTAAACAATTCTGATGGTCCTTTGAAAAAAAAAATGTTGAAATCACATTATTACTACAATAATAATTTTTACAGAAAATTACATCTAGAAAATTATGAGGAGAGGAAATAGAAAAAAAAAAGCTGTGAAAACTTGCAAAATAAAAAAAAAAGTAAAAAAAAAAACGAAATAAAAGAAATGCAAACACATTGAAGGGCTACATAGGTAAACATTAAAGTGAGTAAGTAAAGTATAGGACCTCTTTCAAGGAACCCCCCTCACCCCCCCCCCCCTTTTTTTTTTTCTAAACACACAAATATCCCCAGATAGATGATATGGTCAGTATTTTGCTGACCATATTTATTTCCCAGGAAATTTTCCTGGTAAACTTCTGACTGTAACAATTACAATGGAGAGGGTTTTAGGTAATACTTTTTCTCCTCATGACTTTGATGTTGAGAGTATGCACGTATAGCTAGCAATGTATTACTGTTACAGTGTCCTCATGAGAGGTGTAAACATGTAGCAAGCATTGTTTTTACTTCATTAATACTCTACAGTTTTATGTGCTCGGCGAGACATGAACCAAGTGGTGTATTTGTATTAAATACTAAACAGTAAATAAAAACATATTAAAAATATAATTTTTCTTTTGCATGGAAAGTGTAAGGAGCAATTAAAAGTTACTTGCGGATCCTTTACAGGATGTTGCAGAACCAACCCCTCGATTTCTTTGGCTGTTGTGGTTTTTCTAGGCAAATTTACATCCAGTAATTTGTCAATGCTTTCTGGATTGTCGGTTTCTCGATACCACTGTCGAAACCAGCGCAAAGGCGCAAGGCCCGCAGCTGGGATCGTACTCGAAACCCCAGCATTACGAAGCATGTTTGCAACGCCTAAGCCACAGAAAGCAGCGATTACAGCCATTATATGCACGCCTCGCCACTGGATTTGAACACAAGACCACCTGGTTAGTCGTCAAGTGTACTAGCCAAAGTGCTGGCAAGGATCCCAAATAATTGAGGTAACAATAGCCAATTTCACCTCAGTTAATGTTTGCAGTGTGACTGCCATTCACCTTCAACTTCACATTCACCAGCTATAAACTCAGCTAATTTACAGGTGCTTTGCTCAAACACTAACAACTGGAAACTATAATGAAGAGTTAAAAGTGCTGGTACCAAAAAAAAGAGTACTAAAATACATTTACACAAAAGTGAAAGTGATTCCCTTTCACTTTTCAATATGTGACTGCAAACAAAATCTGATAAAAGATCAAAAGTATTTCTGACACTCTTATTCTTTCTGTTATCTTTCCAACAAACTATGGTCATATAGATAATATTATAATTACATACAATCTGTAGTACAGTAACTTACTTTATTATCTGCAAAAGGTTTTAGTGCTGATTATTTTTCTAAGATACAGTTGATACTATGAGGGTTGTTTTTCATAATAAATATTTTTTTTAAACATATTTTAGGCTTTCAAAAAAGATTTATAGATTCCTATTATTTAAGTGAATTCTGGCAAAGCCCTATATTAGATATGAGATCTAAAAATGTTTGGGACTATTAATGTCAGGCTATTTTTCCCCACCATTACCTGTATTTTCCGCTTAAAGTGCAAACTTATCTAAATGTTTTAAAAGTAGGAGATTTTGGCTTTTAGCTGCTTCTTCATATATTCTTATAATATATGTCATGTGGCGTTGGTAGACATGTCTATCCAAAATCTTCTGTCTCGTGTACGTTCAATCAACTCTGACCCAGATAATCTTCCATGCCATGATGTCAAACCGTCCAGCATCTGTTCTCAGTCTCCCTCTGCCTCTCCTTCCCTCCAACTTTCCTACCATCAGGATGTACTCATTTTCTCCTTCTCATCACATGACTAAAGAATGTAGATTGTCTCTTTCTGATGTGGGCAATCAGTTCTCATCGGAAGTCAGTTTCTTTCAAGATGTCTTCATTATTACTTCTTCTTACAGCAAAGCTGAAGAATCAGGGCAATCATAATGGCCACATTGGCCTGGTGTAACCAGCAGCCCTGTATAGGCAAGATTGTAAACTATTGAGACATAAAATGTAGCAGAAATAGAAAGGACTCCACAGTTGATCTTGCTATGCTACTGCCTATCAAGGGGATATTAATGCTGTAGATTCCCTTTGCATTCCACATGTTCTATAACATGTGTACCTGCACTAATTTAAACTATAAAATTGTTGAAAACAATTTAACTACACCAGTCTACCAAATATCTTGTTCTGTCATTGGTGATAAACACATTCCTTAAAAAAGTTTTCTTTGATTTTCCCAGAAACATAAAATATCTCAACCTGCAACATTCTAAACATTACAGTTTGTTAAATTTTAACTATTCTATTTATTCAATTTCTGAAATAGGGATGAGTATATTCTATACATACAGAAGGGGTTTTGAAGCAATGAGGTAGCATGGTTTCAAAGATTACTGGTAATCATCAAAGATATAAAATCAAGCTCTTACTGCTAGGCATCTGGTCTTTGTGTTCTGGAGCCACCCTTTTAACATTCTTCCTATGAGTTGCCAGGAGGAAGCGACTATAGGACACCTCCTGCGAACATGGAAAGATAATTTTATAGATTTTAATAAAGACTCAGTACCAATAAAAATCAATTCAGAACTAATATCCCTTCAGAAATATCATCCCTCTGTTGGTTCCAAGGTCCCATGGTGGGGGAAGAAATAATAGACCCACTGACCCCTAACAAGCATGTTGTGAGTCGACTAATTAGGATGTTTCTATCGAAGTGGGAGTACATCTGCCTTAACGGTGAGGAACCAACAGTCTGCATACAAGTGAGCCAGGTCTATAAATCACATGTGCATGCAAAACTCTGGTTTTAGAATTAAAGTCGGAGAAGTGGATGAACAACCATAACTCTCCTCCGGAGTTTACACTGACAATGAAGAAGCCAGAGAAGAATTCAGAAATATTCTTTTTCTTCTTCTGCTTATTGTCCATGCTGTAAGATGTTGGTAATCAAAGCTGTCTGTTTCATAAACTGTCAATCATTTCTAGCACAGATGTACTTTAATGTCATGATGAACCTTTACGGAACTATATCAAACAAATTTAAAATATTTAAGAGCTTTAAAGATAAGTGAATCGACCGGGTTTTGATCCCATATAGCTAGGTCTCAGTGCATTGAGGCTGGCTGAGAGCATTGTACAAAGCACAAACTTAGCAGCTCCAAGGGCAATCCCCATGGATATTAAAACACTGTACCTGTAAAGCAAAAGACATAGTCCAAACAAAAACCCGTGACATTAACAGCGTGAGACAGGCTGCTTTATAGCTTCATCACAGAGATCCTGTATCAAACAAACTCTTCTTCTTCTTAAACTCCGTGCCATTTGACGTTGGAAGTCATGTCTATCCACACTCTTCTGTCTTGTGTACTTTCAATCAACTTCTTAAACTCTGTGCCATTTGACGTTGGAAGTCATGTCTATCCACACTCTTCTGTCTCGTGTACTTTCAATCAACTTCTTAAACTCCGTGCCATTTGACGTTGGACGTCATTTCTATCCACACTCTTCTGTCTCGTGTACTTTCAATCAACTTCTTAAACTCTGTGGCATTTGACGTTGGAAGACATGTCTATCCACACTCTTTTGTCTCGTGTACTTTCAATCAACTTTGACACAGATAATTCTCCATGCCATGATTTTAAACTGTCCATAATCTGTTCTCTCGGTCTCCCTCTGCCTCTTCTCCCCTCCAACTTTCCTACTGTCACAATGTACTTCAGTTTTCTCCTTCTCATCATATGACCAAAGAATGTATATTGTCTCTTTCTGATGATGGCAATCAGTTCTCTTCGTGAGTCAGTTTCTTTCAAAACATCTTCATTGCTCTTTTGATCTGCCCTGGGTATTCTCATCATCATTCGTCTATAAAAGCACATTTCCTCAGCTTCCAAATAAGTTTTCACTAATTTACCAAAGGTCCCTGATTTTCTTTAACCAATCAGACTCAGTTATACAAAATTCATTACCATTATGGCATAAATTAAAGCGTTAATTTAACTTGACTCTTTCAGTCCCAAACAATGCACCATGTCTACTGGATATTAATCATGTACATCTGTCAACATGTTTTTGTATGTACATATGAAGTTTAGTCAGGCAAACTAAATCAATCCAGCAACACAAGTAACCCACAATGTGCTGTGTATCTGAAGTCCGGTGGATGCAGTATACCCATGGTTTTGTTGTTGTCGTCATTATTGCTTCAATCTGGCATCAGCTATGAAATTCTGGGACTGAAAGATTTAAACCATTAGTCTGCCCCAGGCAGTTTTATGATTAATGTATCTTAATGTATCTTAAATGTCTTGTGTCCACTTTCATGTTGGTCGATACTGCCTCTTTTTCAATTTCTCTTGTTTTCAAATCGCAATGACATTTCATATGGTTGGGCATTTCAGATTTTGAAACATGATGTTTATTAACTAGTTTTCTTGAATATTAAGATCTTGCAGTAAGCCAGTTTTTGTCTTCTTCTGTACCCATAGTGTTATAAGAAATTCAGTATTTCAGAATCAAAGCCCTTATCTGCTACATCAGCACAAGTAAAGTAAAGGACTCTTTTCCAGTCATAGGTATATAGGGCAAGACCTATATTTTATAGACCAATCAGCACTCGGTGGGTGATGTTAACATCCCACATGCCGCCTTTACTTCCCAGGACTTTACCTGGTACCTATTTGAGGCTGGGTCGACTTGTAAGTCAAGGTAAATTTTTTTTTAATCCGGCTAAATGAAGATTTGAACTAATGACCTTTAGACCTGCAGGAGAGTGTCTAGCCACTTCTCTTAGGCAGCCCTCAATTTGCTACTGTAGAGATTATGAAAGGATACGTGACCCACATACATACATACATGAATATGTTGGCACTGTAAAGATGCATGTTCTAAAATGTTAACTTTAATTTGTTTGCTGGTGTTGTACTATAGGTTCTTAATAGTGTTTTACCACTTCATTGGTATGGCCACGCTCCTTCTGACAGTTCTTAACCATGTCACCTCAAGAAGCACCGGAATCGGCACTAAGGTATGTGCCATGCCCCACAAATGCCACTTTATCGGTGCACTTTAGCGACTTGTTTACAAGCAGCATCCTCACTAAGAGCAATGATTTTGTTCACATGTGTGCAAATGTTTAATAGGTCTGCCAATGACTATAATTACTAAATACAGCAATTATGGGTATTTTTTCTTGAAGCAAACTGGCTTTATTTACAGAAATTACGATGTCATGATTTCTCGATAGTTACTGTGATCTCTAGTGACCTGGTCAAATAGTCAAAAATGAGTCACGGTATTAAATTTATTTAATCTTAGAAAGATGTAACTCAGCTGATTCTCTGCTGCTTTGGTCTTTACTGATTATTCTTCAGTGCCTAATTTTTGTTTATGTCAGAAAAATGAATTATCAGCCCCATTTTTTTTTAAACTGTAAAAAAAAAATTCTTTTTTTTTTTTAAATATTGTTTTGGATCTGCGATTTTTTGGCATTGCTTTTCTTTTCTAGGTCAACAAGGCAAAAAAGTTAACAATCCCAACTGTTAATTATGCGGCAACAGTATTCAAAGTCTGAGACATTTTCAGGCATTTTTTTTTTTAAATCTCTCTTTACTATCTGTGTTTACCCCTTTTTAAGATATAGGACGGGAGTTTTGAGCCTGATGTTTTTTGGCCACACAGCTAGTGCAGTCACCATGAACTATGCAACCAGGATTTCTATTTAAGCTCCAGACAAAAAACATGTTAAAGGTATGTGTATAATTTAACTCTTCGAGTCCCAGGGAAGAGCCCAAGGGGTAGTCAAGAGAGACCTAAAATCGGCGCATCTTGCATTTATCGGGCCTCTAGGTAGGAACCTATGAACGTATGGTGCGTTCCATGGGGCTCAAAGAGTTAAGCTATTGATAGTCAATACAAAACATTTTTCTCTTTGTGAATTTAAAAAAACTAAGATGAGTTCCTGCTGATTTAAAATTATTTATCCGCATAAAGTGTGAAGATGTAAGCTGCTTGTGATAATTATTAAGTTCAAGCATAATTAACTATTCCTCCATAATGATACAAATCTGACCTCATCCAGTTTGGCTCCATGCTGTAAGCCCGCAAAAAGGAGTCCTTCTTGAGAAGAATAGGATCTAGACCCAGAATGTCCTGACATATGTCTCTGTCGTACTTCATCATCTGACCTGCTTGAAACACATTTAGTGAAAGGGTCAGATAACTGCATTTACAAATAAGACATGTTTATAAGAAAGACATTATTTGTGGGGGGGGGGGGGGGGGCGCAAATTTTTCACAAGCTATCAGATTTCTCTTGGTCTTTAACTCATTAGTACCAAGAAACACTTCACATGCTGATCTGCAACTAATTTAACCGCCTTGTGGTACCAAATGAGTTGATACAAAAGAAAGCAATATACAAATTTTCACTATTTTCTTATTAATTTACCCTAAAAAAAGGAAGATGGCATATTGTGCTGTAATTTACACATAGGCTTCGATGTCTGTGCCTTTTGGCAGAACACATTCAATTTCAGCAACACTTTAATTAGTCATATTTCACGACATGCTTGTTAGGGGCACAGTGGAAATATTCTTCTGGCGCCACCCGAAAAGAGAACTATAACAATGCAAAATGTAAAAGTAGGTGAGGGAACCCTTGAGCTGTATTGGGTATACAGTGATAGTACTCTATTTTTATTGAACACTCAGCAATTGATGAGTAATATGGTCAATATCACATCAGCCTCCTTCACCTCACAGAAAATTGAACTGGTACAATTGTTTTATTGTTTCAGTCCAAGATGATTACACAGCAGTAACCCAATCTGGCACAATAACCACAGCATCATAGCATCAGATTACCATTTTCAAAGACATAGCATGCATTGTGTTGCATAGTAAAAATATTTAGCCATATTTTTTTAGCATTCACAGACCAAACATGAAAAATATAATGGGTAATAGTTAATAACACACTATGCGATGGTTGGGTCATAAAGAGTTATACTGAGTTAATCAGGAATAACAATTGATAAAAAAATCTGTCTAGATGGAAATTAGCACCTATCTATAAGAATGGCTGGTAAGAATACTAGACAGTGCGTCACTATGCCTTCCCATGTCATAATAACATGTTAATGCTTTCAATACACATTGTAACTTACATGAATATTTTAATAAACTCAATCCCTAGACACAGCCAAAGACCAGACTAAATATCACCATTCAAAAATATAAAAACCATGAGTTGGAACTCTGCGCTGGCTGCTGAAAATGGAGATGAAGCACTTACGGGGAATGTCCCTAGTGCTGTGATGTCAGTTCTAAAAATGCTGACAATTCTGCCTGTTAAAGAATGTAGCACTTCAAATTGTGTTACTTTATTCCCCCGCCCCCTTTTCCGCCTACAACAAAATTTTGTTCTTGCTCTACTTGGTACTCTACACCCTTCTCAGCCTTTGGTGTAGGCTTTGTAAGCTATGGCATCACAAGGTTTAGGTTCAGGTTTAGATCAACATCATGGCACAAGGGTAGTAATCAATAAGTGCTCCATTCTACTTCTGACTGGAGGCTTGCTGTTAGATCACTATTTTCAGAGGACTCATAGCACAGAAGATGGCAAAGTCCATGGCATACTGGTTACTTTTTCTGATAACAATCTCTAATATCTAATATCTCAAGCTGAGATGATCTAAGTTTTAGGTTTAGACGATGGATCAACATCATGGCACAAGAATAGTAACCCATAAGTGCTCCGTTCTACTTCTGACTCAAGCCTGAGTCTGAAGAATCTCAGCACAGTGCACGAACTGCTTAGCACCGACAAGGATCCTGAAATACTTTGGGTAGATTTTTAACTTCAAATTTTGTCTGGGCAGTGCCGTTAGGCTACTCTTTTTTCGATTTCCAACTGTCAAGGAATTGTTTATGTGCGCAACAATAAACACTGGCGTCTGATCTGACTACTCAGAGATCAGGGGCAATTACTAAAAGTCCAGGTGAAAAAATCCCACCCTCCACCGAGGCTTGAAATTTGGACCTCTTGCACTCGAGGTGGATGCCCTGCCTTGAGACCATGCATGCAGCCCATGCACTGCACCGAGCTACTTTGGACTCAGGCTTGAGTTAGAAGTAGAACGGAGCACTTATGGGTTACTACCCTTGTGCCATGTTTTAAAGCCAGTTATGGCTGGGCAAGGTGCTTTACGGCACAAAATAACCTTGTGATTCGGCTGCTGACAACAGTGCATCCTCTTCCAGACACATAACATGCCCCCTGCAACTTAAATTTACACCTATAACTTGCTTTTACATGGCCCATCTTTCACTGCTTACAGGTAAAACTGTTTCAGTGTTGATCTCTCAATGAAAATCTAAGAAACGTTCTTAAAATTACCATCTCAGAAACCGCGTGGGACCAATACATGTGTGTGGCCTATACGCGCAGAAATACAGTATATGAGTTAGAAATGGGTACAGTCTTTGGACTACCACACGAATGCACCACGAGCTACATGATACCAAAAGATTTTTAATTAATTGTTTAATAACTGCTTAAAGAAAAATAATTGTTTGGCAAAACAATAAAGAAACAAAAAACACTTGCCTCTGTGGTACCTGGGAGCGATATGATAAAACAGAACATATTGCCAGAGGTATTTTGTCTCCAGATACTAAGTACATCCTGCAAATATATAAACAGAAATATTCATTTACACCAGTAAATGAGGATAGATTATTCTGTCCTTCAAAAAGATGTCAAAGGTAGAATGTTAACATTGTTAATAGAAGAAATATGTTTGTTTTTATTGCTGAGCATAGATAGTCTGGTTGAAAAAAAAAATGTGTGGCACATGAAGTGTGTATCACCGAGCTCAGGTGAATGTGTGTGAATGAGAGAGAGAGAGAGAGAGGAGAGAGATTGGAAACCAAGAGGGACTGAGAGAGAAGTGAGAAAGTTAGACAGGCAGAGGCAGAAAGAGAGACCATTATGAATATGCATTAACATAAAACATCACCTTTATGTGTCTTGCCAAATGACAAAGGCATACATGTCTCTCTACAGATCTCTGTCTTTGGTTTTCTTCTTCTTCTTCTTCTTTTTGGTGTGCACTGATTGTAAACTTCAACAGTCAGTTCATATGCACTCTGGATTTAAAGGAATCACACCTAATTAGTCGCCTCCTACGACATGCTTGTCAGGGAGGTGGTGGGTCTGTTATTTGTTCTCCAAAATGGTGCCCCGGAACCTAAATGGGGGAAGTCCTTGGTGTTCTAAATCAGTTTTACTGATGATATTTCTCCATGCCACCATCTTAGACCATCCATTCACCTGGTTTGTCTCTTTCCACATTATTTTTCCAGTTGCCATAATGTTCTTCAATGCTCCCTGTTCTCATCACATACACAAGAAATAATTATTTGTCGCTTTCTAGTAGTTGTGTTCCTACTTTTATTAGATATTTGTTTTCCTTTTGCCAGGTGATCACTCCTCCTTCTTCGGGTTCACCGGAGGTAAACTCAGGCGGAAAGTTCTTTTTGTTCGTCCACTTCTGGACTCTAGTCCTGTTCCAGAAACTGATTGTTGCCTGCACATTCATTTCACAGGTTTAACTCATTTGCATGCAGACTGTTAGTTCCTTGCCTCTCAGGTAGATGTACTCAACTTCGAAGAAAGCTCCCAATTAGTCAACTCTTATGACATGCTTTTGGACAGGCAGTGGGTCTATCCTTGTTTTCCCCACAATTGGGCCTCAGAATCCACACAGGGATGCCCAGGTGATCACTGTAACTGTTACTCTGACTGTAAAATGTATGTATGTAAAAAACATCTAGGAAACTACATCTCCACTAACTACAAACTCTTCCTAATCATGTAGCAGGTTTTTGCAGAAGTCGCTCTCCACATGGTCTGCCTGAAAGAAACTAGGTCTCTCACCACCTCTTCCACCTCATGCACCCTTATACCCAAGAAATCACTTACATGCTGTGCCCGCCCATTTTTATTTATTATGCTGACTGGTCTTGTGTCCTCCTTCCTGGTACCATGCTTTCTGCTATTACTTTTTCAGTACGCCATGGCGCTTGATTTGGCTAAAATATTTCAGCATCTGAGACAAGATACTGTTTTTGGCTTCCATTATAATTTTCTTTGGTAATAATAATGTGGCAGTTTTCCCTTGCTTTTCACATTCACACAGTTTTAAACCAAGTCCTCAGCCTTTGGCAATATTTGAGATTTACCAGGGCAAGTTCTGTTCTGCTATACTCCTGCTAACAACAGAAGGCACCCCAGAGATGTCCCCTTATCCCATAGATACTCGGTCCCCATAGCTGTGTTCACCCCATCACAGTGTGTGATGCATGGAGGTGCAGCTAGGATTTTCCCTTCACTCAGACTTGAGACCAGAACGGCATTTCTCAAAATTCTCCAGTGCTTAAAACTCTTGCTAGTTTATTTTATTAACATTTCAAGATTTACTACCAAACAGCAGAACAAATTGACATACCATTGATATTTCTTTATAAAATTTAATTAAACTGACATATTAGAGAAGACACTATTAACTACTGATATGCAACCTTTACTTATCTAATCTGACACCTGAATCTTTTAAACTGGAGCTTAATTTTGACATATGCTGACACATTTTATCTTCTGAAATAGCATTTGTGTTTGGCCTATCCTGCTCTTGATTTATACCATACATTTTCATGTTACGAATGCCCCAAACAGCACTCAATGAAACAAAATGAGCTGAGAACACATGAGGAAACACCATAGATTTCTGATGAAAAATATAGGTAGGAAAACAAGAGAGAGAGGGTGCAAATCCCGAAGGAGGGGGGGGGGGTGGGAGAGAAGAAAGAGTGATAAGAGTGAGACAGAGCAGAGATGGAGAGTGCAAAAGGGAGAATAGGCACAGGGTGGATACAGAGTGGGAGAGAAATACACGAAAAGAGAGGCGATGCAAGAAAAAGGAAGAGAGAAAGAGGGGAGAAACCGAAGGAAAGAGGAGACTGACAGAACAAAAAAGGGTTGGGGGTTGGGGGGGGGGGGGGGGGGAGTGTAGGAAAGTAGGCCTGGGTATTACACACACAGAAATAGGCCAACCTCTTGTTCTTCATGTTGATGAATGGCTTCATATCGCTTATCACTAGGTTTGTGTCATGACCACAGGCCTCCAGGGACTCATTGGATAAAGAGCTGGATATATGGCTCCTCTCACCTTTCAGGTAAGAAAATACATATCTGAATCTTGGAAACATCCAAATGTTTAATTAAAACTTGTTAACTCTTTCAAACGCATAAGATGAAATAGGAGATGCCTAACGAGAACACAGCTAAAAGGAATACAGAGTACATGCATTACTTTCTCCTGGGAAGCATATAACTTAGAATTTAAAACATGTTAGGTGAAAAAAAAAAGCTTTAACGGGTCAAATTTTATCATAAAATCAGATCACAACATTCGTTGTTTGGGACACATGGGCGGTAGCTGATCATATATGACTAGTTCGTTGGGAGTGAAAACGTTTAGTGTGGCTAAGTGTGAAAGCCACAAATATGTAAGGCGTGCTTGACAGTCAAGACAGCGGTCTAGGTTCAGTCCAAAACATCAGTTTCTGCCATAGGATTTATAAACACTTTGGGGACTTTAACACCCTCTGGACTGAACTGCTAACACAGTTTCATTTAAACTCCTAGGAGATTGAACTGCCCTCACAGTTTTATCTCAAACCCCCTAGTTATGGCCCCTGGTACTTCACAGGGGGTTTTATTCCCCCTGTGAATTATTTATTTATTTTGTGTATTTGTGTGGTATTGTTTGATTTGTTTGTGCTGATGAAGTCACCATAGCTGCAGCGTTCACATTTTGTTTGTAACTGTTTTATATTGAAGCTTGCTAATATACTTTTCGTTCGGTTTTATATCTTTTCTTGCCATAGGATAATCCTTTTTACATTATATCAACAGGTGATGAGTATTCATGAAACGAACAGAGATTTGAAGAAATTATGAGAATTTTTGAAATGTTAAACACTGATGGTAAAGATCTTTTTCTTCTTCTTTGTTCACTGGCTGTAAGCTCTGGTGGAAAGCCCTGGTTGTTCGTCCATTTGGACTTTTGCTTCGTGCCAGGGCCTAAGTTTTGCGTGTACATCAGTTTTACTGGCTTATTTGTGAGCAGGTGGTTGTTCCTAGCCATTCGGGCATATGTATTCCGACTTCGAAGGAAGTCCCCAGTTAGTCAACTCCTACAACATGCTTGTTGGGGAGGCAGTGGGTCTATTCTTGTTTTCCCCACAATGGGGCCCCGGAACCCACATGGGGAGGTAAATATCTGATAATAATAAATCGAGGGCTGTCTGAGGCTTCATATTCTTGAATCCAAAAGTTACATTCATCATTGTTGTTGATAAAACTTACTGTCATCATAAGAACATCACTTTAATCTTAGATGCTCATTACTCTAGCTGGAGCATCTCATCACTACCATACCATCAGCCATTCGCTGTTTGTCCAAAATTTTTGAAATAACAAACCTCATTCAAATGATTGCAAGCATAATAATCAATATATTATGTTTTATACTACATCTTTTGTTAAATTCCAAGTGTGTTTGTTCTTGCATGTTTACTTAAACTCTTAGATAGGTTTACATTGGGTGGGGGCTTATCTTTTAATTCTTTCTCAGGAAAAAGTTGTCAGGAGGGGTCACCAGCCTTGTCTAATAATTCATTAATAAAATAATTTAGACATCTAAAACCTCCTTCCCTTTCCTGTGGGTACCAAGTGCAGCTACCGTTTATTTCTATTACAAGCCAAATACGGCTGTTTTCTTGGATATCCAGGACTGTGTCTAGTATCAAATCGACTCTGACATTAGTCCAGTTTCTCCTGTGGAAGTTGAGTGTTGTCTCAAATTTCTGTTCATCAAAAAAGCATTTATCCACAAGGAACAACCACTGGTAACAACAGTTATAAGACCAAAAAGAAAACACTATTCTGGACACATTCTGAGAAGAAACAAGAAGAGAATCACCAAACAGCCCCCTAAAATAGGAAATACAGGGACTGAGGAAATTAGGACGCTCAAAAGAAATCTTAAAATGAAGGTTGATGTTCATAATTTGGCTAATGTTTGCACATCAAAAGAATTTATAAACTCTATAAGGGCATTAGGTACTTCCTTTGTTTTTCTTCAGAACTATGCTTTTGCTTTGAGTCTCCATGCACTGTTAAAGTTTACAAGTTTTTTTGGGTGTTTATCAGGTTTCCCTTAAACAATGTAGTTATAAAGGAAATATCAGAAAACATGTAACCCATCATAACAAAATGAGGTTTTACTATTGCAAAGTTACTGCCTGTTGTAGTTTTGAAATTTACATTTATACATTACAGTGGTGGTAAACAAATTTAAAACCATCTCGTAAATAATTGATATTTGTAAAGAATGTAAAGTTGCAAACTTTGCAGCTATACTATAAACAGACTAAACACAACTGATACTATTCCAGACACATGCAATACAGGAAAAAGAAGAAGATCAAGAATATAAGAAGCAACAACCATAAAAATAATAAACTGACAAAACATTTAATTTAAAAAATGTAAATAAAAACCTAACACAGTTTTATTTACAACAAACATGCTGATTAAACATCATAAGGGCTCATAGGGAGCTGCACAGTCTCGAGGCATGGTGTCCGCCAAGAGTGCTAGAGGTTCCGGGTTCAATCCCTGGTAAGGACTGGGATTTTCCACCTGGACTTGGACTTCTAGTAATTCTCCCTGGTCTCTGGGTAGTGAGATAAGACGCCCATGTGCATTGTTGCACACGTAAAAAAAAATCCCTTGGCATTGAGAAATTAAACAGAGTAGCCTAACGGCCCTGCCGGGGCAAAATTTGGCACTAAAATCTATCCAAAGTATTTCCGATCCTTGCCGGTGCTACAGAGCCTGTGCACAGTTAATTCGGACTCAGACTTGAGTTAGAAGAAGAACGGAGCACTTTTGGGTTACAACCGTGTGCCATGATGTTGATCCATTGTTCAAAAACCTCAAAACCATAAGGGCTCATGTGATTCCTCCATTCCATTCAATCTTCAACCATAATTTCAATATCATCTATGGACTCTAGCTTAGCATCCATGGCCTCTCTCATCAGCATCTGCCATAGGGTTTCCCTTTCAAGTCCTACTTTCATCTGTCCATTTGTTTCCTAAGCCTCGGTGAGAAAGAGGAGGTCTGAGCAGGGGACTAGCTCCTTCACCCTGCAAAACAACTATTTTGCTATAAAGCCATGCAAAGAAAAGGATACCATTCTAGTAAAAGATGGCACAGTAGATCACGAATTTCAACCTTTGATGAAACAAGAAGATGTGAAAAGCTGTGATGATTTGTAAGTTAACTGTGATGACTTTAAATAACTTTTCTATTTCAGTCCTACATAATCATCCCTAATGCCCCAGAGAGGCAATAATGACAAGGTGTATTACAATCAAATGGACCAGATTTACAATCAATGTAGAAAACAAAACCTTTCGCTACTTTAAAAATGACAGCAAATTAAATGTGAGATATTAAAACAGTTTCAACCCTTTCACTGCATCACTGCACTCTAGACATTTCCACACGTGTTCCATCCCCTTCTTCAGTAGCCAACAATGAGTCTTCTTCTTCTTTACCCCTTCTTTTAGTGTCGAGGGAGATATAAGGTACTGCTTCGTGCTTGTCTGGCTGCTTCAACCATAGACACATCGTGGTGCTGTAGAGTTTCTCTGATGTTATCTTTCCATCTTGTTCTTGGTCTAACTCTTGCTTGATGTCTCTCTCCTCTTTTGGTAAAAGCCTAGTATGGTATAGCATCAGGAGGAATTCTCTCCAAGTTGGCAAACCATTTGATTTGCTGTCTGTGTATGTAATTTAAAATTGGTTTTGTGTCGAAGAGTCAACATGCCAATGTTAACAAGCTAATAGTCTACATGCTAATAGTAATAGAGACCACGGAGAAAAGACCAGAATTTGGTGCGTGGTCAATTGTAAACCAGAGGTCCAAGAATACAGCTGTCATATTGAAAATAATCTAAATGATATGATCAATAGTTTTGTTGAGAGTATTATGTACGAGGGCTATTCCAAAATCAACTTCCGACTGGCTAGCACAAAAATGTTCATTTAAATATAAATACGAGCTTAGGCCAATTAGAAGATGGCTATTGGTACACATATTCACAGGGCGTGTACTCAATGAAGATGGGAACAAGCATTACTGCAGTCATTAAAAAGAAACAAGAACAACATTTAAAAAATGCAAGGCGGTTTGCTGCCAAACAGCCTGCAACTAATGTACCTAATGCATGCTACCATACAGCAGCTTCATAAATAAAACAACACTTTACAGCAGCGACAATAACAACTATCCTCCAAGACTCCATTTTACAACAAAAAAAAGATAAGTCACCCATGCCTGTCCCTTCTCCGTATGGCCTCTTAAGAGAAACAGGATGTCTATAAAACGGGTCAGAATGCATGTGTAAAAGTTTCCTTGGCTTACCAGGTTTGTCACCACCTGAGTATGATGAGGCTCTGTGGACACAGAAAGAAACATAAAGTGTTAGCAAGTTCACCTTCTTGGTAAGAATTTGACATTGCAGCATTCAGGACAAGCACATGTTAGCTCCATCTCTCTCCTCGACAGCCAGTGAATAGACTATACTGATGGTACCCGTTGTCATCTGGTTAATTAATCTTGCACCCAGAGCCAGCCGACACCTCCTGCTGCAAAATTATCTCCAGGTTTGAATTTTTAATATATTCCATTCTACTTGTTAGCTCGTCCCACATACAACAGATCACCACTGCCTTGTGCAGTTGCTGTATATAACCTGCCCCCCCCCCCCCCACCCCCCCCCGGCAACAATGGTTCTGAAATCTCATGCATATGCTGTTGGCGATCTTCTTAACGCAATGTGGTCTTGCTAATTACACTGGGCACAAACACCATGGGGTGTGATTCCATGCTCCCATACAGCTCCATAGAACATTATCCTTTGTAAAGATGAAAAGGTGTCAACAATACCATATATCAAATAAATCGGCTCTACTGGCAAATTTGGCCGGTAAGCTGGACTGCTTCGGCCGGCTTAGCGGGGCTTCGTGGGAGTTATGTCCCTTGGCCAAACTCAAAACAACTCAAAACAAGTCGCAGAAAAAGTCATGAATCAAACGGCATACTTACCCATCATCATCCGGGTGCGTGTAGGGTTGCGTAGGGTGTCTCTCATCGTCCTACGGTTGCGTGTAGGGCTGCTTATTGCGTGTAGGGTTGGTTGTTTGCGTAAGATAGATGAGGGGTAGGGTTAGGGGTTAGGGTTAGCGTTTAGGGGTTAGGGTTTAGTGTTAGGGTTTAGGGTTAGGGGTTAGGGTGTAGGGTTTAGGGTTAGGGGTTAGGGTTCAGGGTTAGGTGTAGCGTTAGATGTGACAATTGTGACGCCGTAGTTCCCTACAATCGCACACAGTCGCATGCACGTGCACACAGTCGACGGACGGTGGATGCTACTGACACGGACAATTCGCCGCCACCGATTGGGGCACCAGCCGCCGCGCGCTATTGCCGTCATATTTGTCACACTTCCAGTGGCGCCACTCCCACAAGCATCAGATTGTCGGCCAGTATTTCCACCTCCTACTTGAATATTTTCACATCATCTAACCCTAACCCTACCCCTAACCCACACCCCTGACCCTACCGCTAACCCAAATCCTACACTCAACCTTATGATGATGATGATAGACACCCTACGCATCCCTACACGCAACCGTATGATGATGATAGACACCTTACGCAGCCCTACGTGCAACCGTATGATGATAGGTAACCCCAGACGCCACCCTACGCAGCCCTACACGCACCCGGATGATGATAGGTAAGTATGTCATTTGATTCGTGACTTTAATTCCGCGACTTGTTTTGAGTTTGGCGAAGGGACGCGAAGGGACATAACTCCCACTAAGCCCCGCTAAGCTGGCCGAAGCAGTCCAGCTTACCGGCCAAATTTCCCAGTAGAGCCAATAAATCTCATGATTAGACGTGATATGATTGCAAAGACAGTGCGTTCATATGTTCTTACATAGAAGCCCAATGAACGCATGATGTGTCAATTTTAGTCTCTCTTTACTACCCATTGGGCCTGTGCAGCTAAACCTGGGACTCAAAAAGTCAAGGCTGGGTCGACCTGGGAGCCAAGGTCATTTTTTAAAAACAAATCAGGTTCTCTTCAGATTTGAGTTCATGACCTTCGAATACGCAGGCCAGGGTCTAGCCGCTACATCACGGCTGCTCCCTTCAAGGTGTGGAAATTTGATATTTTTTCTAACTATACAAAAATGTCCACAAATAAGCTGGGTTTGTAACTGAAGTTACTAACGAGAGTAATTTACTTATTTACCTCCATCGCTTTCCTCCTTGTCCATCTACAGACTTCTCATGTCGAGATCCCCATGGCGACTTGGCTGCGCCACTGAGTGCAGCTCGTTTCAACCCATCCCCATCTTTCCTCGACAGCCTGCTTCCATGGTGACTTGCATTATGCTCGCTTTCATCCCACCTTTCTCCATCTGCAGCGTTCTGAACTGTAGCAGACGAGGACTCATCGCCCTGACAATCGTTCTCCTTACATTCTTCATCGTCCTCGTGATCTTGACATTCCTTGCTCCTGCTACTGGTTACCACTGAAACGTTAGAGTATGTCCCATTTAAGGATATATTGGACAAGAAGCTAAGGGCTGCGAGCCTTCGCCTTGAACGATATTTCTGGTGTTTTCGCGACGAACTGGCCATCCGAAATCAGATGTTTATGGTTGACATCGCTAGAGTTATGTTTTCTTGAACAGAAACGACAACTCGTTACAGTGTGAGGTTTGAGGTTTGTGGTTTGAAGCAGTGTTGCTTCTTTGGATGTTTTACATCCAGAATTAGATGTTTTTCCTTGCATTTAGATGGTGTTTTTGACGTTTAAATGGTAGATGTTGTTATAGACGTTTTTCATTTAGAGTCAAATATTTTTTTTTCTTCTTTCAGTGTCAGTTTAATAATTACTGTGTAAAATATTTAGTGCAATATTTTTGTTTTGGTCTGGCACGTACATTGTGACAATTGCGATTACTTAAACTTTGAATTCTCACTGGGGTCAACGCTCAAATATCAGGCAGCCCCGGTACTGATTTATTAAAAGCGCGCGTAAATCATACTAACTTTGTTTCAACCATATCCTCACTGTGCTGACTTTGTGTTTCTTTTTCATATAATTTTTAAAAAATAATCCCTCACCTTTAAATGTTGCTTTCACTTTGAAAAAAACCTTTCAACATGCCAAAAGTAAGCAATGAGCAAAAATTTAGGAAAGAGTGGTTGCATGATGACAAAATTAAAGACTGGGTGATGGCAGTTCCTGGGGATATGACCAAGGCTCGATGAAAGTACTGCAAGTGTGAAATTAGAGCAAAAATACAAGACTTCAAGAGTCATGCAGAGACTGAAAAGCATAAAACTGACTGATTTGTTTAAAAACACTATTTCTGACAGTAAAGTTATGGATGATGTGAAAATGCATCGCAGCAAGTGTACACAAATAAGAAATACTTTATTTTCTCACTTCGAAAAATATTTTATCAGTGATATTTCTACAAATAAATATAGTTTATTATCAGACGAATCAAATGATATTTCTGTACTGAAAGTGCTTCATGTGTAATATATATTTTATATGTTACAGCAACAATACATACAAAGAAGTTTCTACATATCTTGGCCTAGTTCAATTGGAAAAGTGTGATGCAGAAAGAAATAAGTATAGTTCAGGAACTGAAGAAACTTTTAATCAGCAAACAGTTAGACTTGAAGAATTTGGCTGCAATTGGTACTGATAATGCCTCAGTGGTGGTTGGTGTAAACAATGGCGTTTATGCCAAGTTGAAGGAAGATATCCCATCGTTAATACTTATAAAATGTATGCGTCATTCATTGCAGCTAGCATTATCATATGCTTCATCTGAATATTTACCAAAGAAATTTGGAATACCTTATTGCTGAAACACTTTACTAGTTTTCCAAATCTTTTGTCAGACAACAGCAATACAATACATTATATATAGCCTTGAATGATGGTTCCACACCATTGGAAATTCTGTCAGATTGCAAAACTAGATGGTTATCAATTTAACTAGCTAATTATGAAGCAATGGTTGAAGTTGAAGACACACTTTGAAATAACAAGACAAAGTGAAAAGTGCTACAGAGCTGAAATACTATGGAATTTACAGTGAAAAAAAATGTGGCATTCCTTTTTACAACCTATTCTAATGGAAGTGCAAATAGTTAATAAACTGTTCGAATCTAAACATGTTGATAAAGTTAAATTACTTGACGATCTCACTTTGCTATTTCAATCAGTTGGTAAAAGACTGGTGTTGCCAACTTCTAAAGCTGATTTGCTCACTTGCACTACAGAGAGCTATTTGGCTCCTAAGCCACACCTTGGATATCAAATCGAATCAAATATTGATGAATTAAAAACAAAAGGACTGTTAACGGAGAACGAAGAGAACAACTTAAGAAAACACTGAAGATTTCCTCATTTCATTATTCAAGCAATTGAAGCAGAGACTTCCTGAAAATCTAGATGTATTAAAAATATTTCACTCTTTTCTGTGAGCAACATACTTCAACCAGTAAAGGACATACCTAAATATTGGAAAGTTATGAAATTGTTAGTGGCTACTGATAATAGTGTGGCTAAAGCAGAATATCAATTAACCAAAAATAAACTTGGTTTACTGGACAAACAAAACAGAAACGGAAGCGTTTTGGAGTGAAGCGAGACAATTTAAAGATGCCCCAGAAAACAGTCCATTCTCTTTGAATGTGCCATGTCTGCCACGATACTACCCCACTCAAAGGCTGACGTAGAAAGAGTTTTCAGTGCTATAAATTATATCAAATCTAACCTAAAAAACAGGATGAAATTAGACCTCTTAAATGCTATCTAGACAATAAAATTGGGCCTGATGAGAGTAGGAAAATGCTGTTCCACTTAACAGCTCCCTGATTGTGTATTAAAAGAAATTGGAACAGCTAAAGCATACCAGAGTCATTTTAGATCTGAAGCTTCAACTTCAACATCCAAGCTAAGTTTATCCTGTAGATCTTGTGAGGCAGACATCAGTGAAGACGAGGACATGATTCTATAGGGTAAGTCATATCAATATCTATGTAATTTGTGACTCTTTCCATTTGGATGTTTTTTCTATATGTTTTCCCACGCAAATTTAAATATTTTAAGATATTTTTTGACTCCTTTCTGGATGCTTTTTGTCCAAGAAACGTGGCAACACTGGTTTGAACAACAGATAACATTATGGCACACGGGTAGTAACCCATAGGTGCTCCGTTCTACTTCTAAATCAAGTCTGAGTCCGAAGAAGCTCAGCACAGTGCACAGGCTCTGTAGCACCGGCGAGGATCCTGAAATACTTTGGGCAGATTTTTAACTCCGCATTTAGTCCGGACATCGCCGTTAGGCTACTCTTTTCGATTTCCAACTTCCAAGGGATTTTTTTACGTGCGCAACAATGCACGCGGGCGCAACAATGCACACGGGCGCCCAAACACACTAAAAGAATTACTAGAAGTCCAAGTCCTCGTGAAAAAATCTCAGCTCTTACCCTGGATTGAAACCCGTAACCTCTAGCGCTCGAGGCGGACACTATGCCTCGAGACCACTCAGCCCCCCCCCCCCCCCTCGTTACAGTTTGAGAGTAGACATAGTAGGCGAATCTGTGAAAACAATGTGTTAAACTCTTTCACACACAGAACAGGTGTCATCATTCGTTTTACGCTTGTGGGGCTTTAAAGGAAGGGATCCGAGCCGTAATGGATCGGTCTGGAGTGCTGAGATGAAACTCATCACTAATAACATCCACGTATTAGTTCCGTTACCCCATTCTCAGGACTCTTTGGAAAATCTGTCATGTGTCATTTCGTTCAACCGCACCAGGACCGCACAACGAGCGACCAAAGCCGGTGACACAAAGTGCCACCTGTCGGATGAGGATCACCCAGTACAAGTCCCAGAAACCCCGTCCAGCCGTTAGGTTATATTAGGGCCTCCGACAACAGCCGAGTGGGACTTGAAAATAACCAAAAATCACGTCCCATATTGGGACGTGTCATAGAGGGGATGCGTTGAGAAAATGTAGAATAGACCCACTGCCACCCTACGTCTGACGTACAAGGTGACTAATTGGGGGGAAGGAAAAGGGGGTGGGGGGTGTCCACTGAAGTCGGAGTACATCTGCCTGCAAGGCGAGGAACCAACGGTCTGCAAATAAGCTAGATCTGTAAAATACATGTACAAAACTCAAGTTCTGAAACAAGACCAAAGTCCAGACGTAGAATGAATGAATCAAGAATTGATATTGCTGTACTCAGAATATGTGCTTTATTCCCTTTCTTCAACAACCAGTGAAAAGTCGGTATGCTAATAGTATTAACCTCCCCTCAAGTGTAACTAACACTCAGTTACCCGTATAGCCCTGCCGGTATTGTCTACACACACTATTTTGTCATCTCCTTGTAGGATACAATTTTTGTTTATTCGAAGCCCTACTCTGGCTCATGCCAGGTGCCGCAACATAGCCCGGCCATAAATATGGTCTAATGGCTAAACGCGGTTTCTGGAACCTCTCCACGGGTGATCCTCATCCACATGGTGGCACTTTGTGCCATCAGGTGTTTATCGCTTGTGTTATGTCCTGGTGGGGTAAAAGAAGATAGATAGAGATTTTTTATACACAACCCGTCTAACCAGTAATTGACCTGTCTGCTGTTATGAGTCAGAGTCTAGGCATTGTTTGTCTTTCTCTCACAGTGTGTGGTAAAGTTGACTTATGACAGTGCCACTGACATGAAAATGGTCCTTTAACGTTTTAACTTGTACTAATCCTATTATAATAAAACAAGCGACTAACCTTCATCAGCAAACAGGGACGCCATTTGTTTATTCAATGGTACTACTCATGAAAGTCACCCCATCTCCCTATTTCACCACATTGTAACTGATTCAGTAAAGCTGGCATATACTAAGTTTATCTTATTCAAAATTATATTCATCTACTATTACCCTTTCATATCCGTTCTCTAATTATAAAAATACTTACCATTACAACCCTAGCCTAACTTCATCTTCAGTCTCTCCACAGTAGTTTTGAATCATAAATCATGCACAAGGTAAATAGTGATCTTTATAAACTTATCAATTCAACAGTCTCAAGAGCACTTTTCCAAGTTTGAAACCCATTCTCTGAAGGTCATCAGTTCATTTCAGGGATGTGTTATTTAAGTTCATGAGTGCAGTTTTTATGGAGATCTCTAAGGTTTGATGCTGGAGCTATGAAGTTTGTGGTTTGTACGATGCTTTCGTTGACCAGGACTATTCAGTTGGTGGCATAGGCCAAATCTGACCCATAGAGGGCCAGCAAGTGACCTATGGATTATTGCCTGTTGTACCATATTAAAGATCTTTCTTTGCTGGAGTTCTGGCCCATGACGATTCCCATATGCAAAATTGTGGCCACTGAGTAGACTTAGTTGAATAGCACTAGTGTAGATTGTCATGTTTCGCCATTCAACATGACCACCAGAATCAAGGATCAGGTCAGGTTTCTTGTCTCATCCCATCCATATGCCTACTCCATTAAGGTTTTTATCTCATTGTCTTCCTCTTACTCTCTTTTTATCAATCTTACCAGTTGTTACCAAGTTCTTGAGTCTCTTCCTTCTCA